GGGACATTAGATTTCATCTAATTTTATATACGATATAATATATGAGACTACATATTTAATCTAATGTTATTTGTCTCCTGGAAAAAAATAGAAAGGCAAATAATTTGGCATTAGATTTCAGTGTTAGCATTAGAATTTTGACAGACTGGGGAGATGACACAACTGTAGGATTAAGAGCAGACTGTTTCTAATTAAAAAGATTGACTTCATTTGCGTCTTACATCAATATCTATGTATCACTCCAATTTGATACTCTTTTGAATTAGGCTGGGTACTTTGCACTCTGCTCCTCAATGAACCCCTAATCTGTTTAACATTCCCTACCTTCTCTGTCCTACAGATTAGTTTCACCAGAGCCTCCTCCAAAGGGCTTCCTAGTTATGGGCTCCAAGTTCCGCTACAGTGGGCGAACACAGGCTCAAACACGACAAGCCAGTGCCCTGATCGATCGTCCTGCCCCATACTTCGAGCGCTCCTCTAGCAAACGGTACACCATGTCTCGCAGCCTCGATGGAGGTATGCCCCAAATTGGGGAGGGGGAGGGAGATTGGTACTCTGGTGGGCATGGGGAGGCTTTTGTTGATGAGACTGAGATGTATAAAGACATGGTGGGTGGGCGGAGGCTAGAGCAGCAAAGGTATTATTTCTTACCGTCGGGTTCTACAACATCTTTTTTCCATGCTGATGACAGATCCCTCAACTGGTGAAGGACTATAGGAACCCTTTGCCAAGTTTGCCCATAATGCAGCAGTGCAGTACAAGGGAATCCTAGACAGGAGATGATGCTGTTCAGCAACTCCCAGAAAAGAGCAGAAATACAGGTGGTGCTTAGAATAGGCACAACAGCTTTAAGCAACATTCTAATTCAAATATTTGAAGATCTTCATTCCTGAACAAGAGGAAGTGGTACAAATTTATAGTGATGTGAAACAGAAAATGATGGCAGGAGTTCTGAATTTTTGCTTATTTTATTCATTTTCCTGTGACCTTTCAGCCATTCTCAGGCTGGATAGTGAGTGAGCCATTTACGCAGACCCATTTTATGCTGGCTTGTGTTCTTGAGGGCTACTTTTATTAACACCCACCTCCTGGGTCCCATCAGTGCTCTTCATATGCACTGCAATTTAAACAAATCAGTGACTGAGAATATTGATTAAGAAACAAACCACTTAACAAGAATCAAGCAATCATCAATATGAGCAGGCTGATGTAAAATAACTGCTGGATGAAATTGCCCATGACAGGACTCACAGTTGTGGTACAGTACTTTACTGTTTGGTCAATATTGGAATCCAGTATACTGCAAATGAAAATCTCCAGAATGATGAACTCTCCAATCTGATATGGTTCCATTAACACTTTGAATGAACCACAGCTTCATAAAGTGTGCTATGCAACCTCTGGATCTGTTGTTTTTCGGCAAGTGATAGAGAATTTTCTCTTGCTTCTTAGTTAAGAACATTATATCCCCTTAAGCAACCCAACTTTGTTTAATTTTCTTTTTATTCTCTCCGTCTTGAATTACTATCTACGTGTTGTTAACTGCTAATTTATTTCTGTTGTTTTACTTTGTGTTCTGTGAGCCACCCAGAGTAGACTATGTCTAGATGGGTGCCATACAAGTTCAACAAACAAACAAACCTATTCTTTGGAGAAAAAATGGGAAGCAGCAGGCAATAGCATTAATAGTGCAGGAGGAATTTATTTATTTATAAAGTATTTTTACCTCATCTTACTTCTTGAAAAGGACCCAAGGCAGCTTAAAACATTGAAAGACAATACTTAAAGTTGAAAATAATGAGTATACGATGGTGGTTAACATCATTAAAAGACAATATTTAAAGCTGAGGACAATGATTATGAGAAGGTATCTTACATCATCAAAATGTAATACTAAAACTAAGAACAATAATTATAGAAATATTAAAAAGGGAAAAAGTCACTGAGAAATAGAAAACCCAAAAATGGAAAACACAAGTAGTACTAAAAATCCAGTCAAAGCAGTAATGCATAACAAGCCATCTAAAAAGCACATACAGGTAGCTGGTTTACTGAGGGAAGGCTTGCATGAAGAGAGAAGTCTTTGCCTGCTTGCAGAAGGACAGCAAAGATGGGACCAATCTAGACTCCTGTGAGAGGGAGTTCCAAAGTCTGGGAGCAACAACAGAGGAAGGTCTCTTCTGTGTCCCCACCAGAAGCACCTGTGAAGGTGGTGGTACCAAGAGAAAACCCTCTCCTGAGGATCTTAACACCTGAGCTGGCTCATATTGGGATACCATCTTTGAGATAGCTTGGATCCAGGCCACTCAAGGCTTTATAGGTTGAAACCAGCACTTCAAATTGTGCACAGAAACTGATCAACAGCCAGTTTGGTCCAGAATAGGTAACAGAGAGAAACTAGAATAATTTAATGGGCCATTCACACCTCCTTCCATGTTGGATTGTCTACTTGTTACATTATGTGTATGGTGTCATGTCAGAACCAACTTACACCAATCTTAATAGGGCTTTTGAAATGAAATTAATGTTCTAAGTGCCCTCCATTAGTTTCAGTGGCTGAGAAGGTGTCTGAACCCAGGTCTCCTGAGTCCTACACCACCAGAGTTAAGAAAAGTTAATTTTGAGACAACAACTCCGTGAATCTACTGGTAATGCTGGAAGTTGTAGTCTGTGCTCTGAGTTCTGGTTATAACTACAACAATGTAATCAGCATGCATCAAATAGTCACACTACTTTCTCTTTTTTTAAAGCAAACAGATTTGTAATTTGCAATAAATGTATAGAACAACTACATATCAATACAGTTGGGTAATTCAATGAATTGGGTACCTGTATATGAAGCCAAAGGTCAAGGATTCGATTCTTTGTTGTGGCTTTCAGGAGAAAAGCCAGTCCGCATAGCCTTGGGCAAGCTCTAGAGTCCCAGAATGCCTGCAGAGGAAATGAATGATATAACACTTCTGGGTACTCTGTGCTTAGAAAACCCTGGGAAGGGTCACTATATTTATGTTGGAATCAATTTGACAGGGCATCGTTGTTGTTGTTACCTGTTAATACTAGTCAGTCAGCAGAACCAGTGATTCAAACTATAGATCACTATACAGATAATAGTCATATTTAGTCTGAATATCTACCTCCTTTGATCCCTCATTTACTTTTACTTTACTTATACTGTATTGAACTTATACCCAGCCCCTCTAGACAAGGTCTACTCGCGGCAGCTTACATGAGTAATAAAATACAATAATATAACATACATAATAATAAAAACCTATGAACTAATACGTATATACATTATCAAGATGGGGATAGTTAAGAAACAAATCAGTTAATTGACTGGAGGGAAGGCCTGCCTAAAGAGCCAGGTTTTTAAATTGTTTTTTATAGTATAAAATATAGCAAATTTCACAAACTATTCTCTTGATGTAACAAGGTTTCATACTAAGCAAGAAATGGCTCCAGTCAAGCTGAGTATATGTATTTAAGGACTGTTAAGTATTTAAATTAAAAGAGTGAAGAATCTATGGCCTTCAAGACCCTGTTAGTCTCAACAGGAAGAGATATTGAGGGTAGTAATTCAAAACTTAGAGGGTACAAAATTTTTCCGTATTGGTCTATAGCAAAGAAAAAGCAAAGTGTGATGCTTATATACCACCGCATAGCGCTTAGGGCACTCACTGGGCTGCTTCCAATTTAATTATGCAGGCCACATATTACACCATCCCTACCCCCATGCTGGATACTCAGTTTACCAGTCTCAGAAAGATGGGAGGCTGAGTAACCCTCTAGCTGGCTACCTGGGATTGAACCTGGTTTGTGCCATGATGAATCAAAAACAAATATTACAATTAAACACAAATTTCACTATTAATGTTATGGCAATGTGTGCAATAAATGAAGCCTCTGAGTTATACACAAGGGGAAGGGGGAGGGTTGAACTTTTGGTACTATATTGGATCTAGTGTTAGCAGCAAGCACAGTACAGTGGACCCTCTACTTAAGGAATTAATCTGTATTGGAATGGTGGCTGCAAGTTGAAAAGTCTGCAAGTCGAATCTCCATTCACCTACAATGCACTGAAAACCAATTAATCCTATAACCAGTGGTTTTTATTCTATTTTTATGCCATTTTAGTTTTTTTCTGGTCTGTAAGTCGATTCTCTGGCTGCAAGTCGAATCTAAATTTTGCAGCCAGAGAAGTCTGTAACTCGAAAAGTCTGTAAGTCGAGCTGTCTGTAAGTCAAGGGTCCACTGTAGTCTATAGAAAACATCTATTTTGAGCTGAATGTAGTAGGATAAAATAGGACTCCCCAGTCTCTCTCTCCTGTGCAGAATTCTCTCGGCCAGCTTCAGTCAGTGAAAATCACGATGGAGGAGCAGAATCAGACAAGAGAGATGAAGACAGCAGGTATGGTGGACGGACGCGGTCTGAGACAGAAGATGAAGAAGTGACCACCCCAACAAAAATTAAGGAGCTAAAGGTACAAGATCCATATCATTTGAAAATCTGCACTTGAAGGGAAACTGTAGCCATCTCTAAATGTGGCACCCCAAATCATAGCTTCTTCATAAGGAGGTTCCTAACATATTGCAGAAAGTAGTGATATTATCATTATTAGTCTCCATCACTCTTAATCAAATTCCATTAGGAATTGTCATGAAAATACAGGCTTCCAGCTTGGCTTTAGATGTCCAGAATTCTCCTTCATATTCCAGCACAGAAAGTGTAATTACAGCTTCCACTGTTAGTTTTCAGCCAGTCTTCTCTTTTTCAGCTTGTCCACAGAGTTTCTGGAGCTTTACTCAGGAGTTTCTTAGGCAGGAGAACTAGATGTGCAAACAGGGAGTGTTCTTATCTGCCCATCCTCTTCATCATCACTTAAATTATGCAATGACCAGTGAGCTTGAAGAGGAAAAGTTTTGTTCATGCAGAAGGTCTCCATGTAGATAAGAACACTGGAGAATCTGTATTTTTGCTTGCATGGAGATCACCACAAGGGGAAAATGATTCTTCTTCAGACCGCTTGGTCATCGTGTGATCCAAACAACTATGGAGGAGGGTGAGATAAGAGTCTCCTTTTATATGCTGTTTTCTTGCATTGAAAATTTCAGCATAGGTCTTGAGAGTCATCTCCCTCCTGTAGAGCATCCTGTTACCTACTTTTGTGACAAAAGGAGTGTTTTGATGTTTGCTAGTACAAGCAGAGTACAAGAAATACTCTTTTAGTGTCACTATAACAGAAACATAATTTTTCCACTACCCAGAGATTGAAATGTGGCTATTTAAACCAAACTTGAGTGAGTGAGGGAGTGAGTGAGTGAGTGAGTGAGTGAGTGAGTGAGTGAGTGAGTGAGTGAGTGAGTGAGTGAGTGAGTGAGTGATACCGCCCATCTGGCAACCAAGGCCACTGTCGGCGGTTTACATAATACCATAAAACAAAGTATAAAGGCAAACAATACAAAAGCAGACAATAAAATAACATAATACAATATCAACCTATGAAAACAATATCAATAGAACTTTAAAATAAAATAAAGAAAGCCATTGTTGGTTACCCTTCGCACCAAAAGCATAAACAAAGGTGCTATACACCCAGAGCAAAGGCAATATCTCACAGGCACATGGAACTGTCTACACAGATGTTAAGTGTTGAATAACTATAAATTCTGGTGACAGCCTCTGGCTAGAAAGCTAGTGGCTCCAGAAACATACTTTTGTATACCACATTCCAGCCCCTACATTTATATTTTCCTCACTAAATCTGAATGAAAAGATTAACATTTATACTGCCATGGGCAAAAACATCTCTTGGCTTAGTACAGAATCGCATCCTTCCACTCTCTTGTCTCTAATGAGCTCTTCCTGCCATTAGTTCATCCTCCCTTCACATGATGAAGGAAAGGAACTGGGGACCATGTCTGGGGCTAAATGTGGTAGGTTCTAGGCTTGACACACAAAATTGTTATAAGATTGTTATCACGTTCTCTTGCAAAGATGGGACCTTGCAAATCACTTTACACACTGCGTCATTTCCTCAGTCTTCAAAAAGTACATTCGTGGAGCCACTGGTTTTCTAGCTAACAGAAAGAAGCCTAAATCCTTCCAGCACTGGTAAATTCCTATTGGTAATTACAGTTAGAAACAGAAGAGAGCTTTTGTTTCTGACCTTCAAAGACAGGGATCAAGGCATCTTTACAGTTCCATTCTTCTAATGGGGGTTGGGGTCGTATGATGTACATCGAAACATTTGTATATTTTAAAAAGTAGATATGTATGTATGCACAGAGTAGGTCCACTGAATGAATGGAACTTTCAGAAAAGTTGGGAGGAATCTTTATTGCAATCAAAAGATCATATAGAAGAGTTGATTCACCAAATCCCCATCTTCAGAAAAGTTGGGAGGAATCTTTATTACAATCAAAAGATCATATAGAGGATTCACCAAATCCCCACTGATTCAGTAGCCTACTCTAATTGTGACTTATAATTGGATTTTAGCCATTTGCATACATTAGTAAAATGCGTAACAGTGGGTACAACAGTATGAAAAATTTGAACAAAAACAGGGATGAATTTCTATGCAAGAAGGTGGGGTTGAGGAGGGTGGGATCTGACAACCTGATTGGGAACCAGAATGGAATGAAAATGCTGGTGAGATTCTGAAATATGCAACAAGAATGAGATTTGAGACTTGAAAACCTCTTGATTTTGATGCCTTTTTCTGAATCCTACGTGCATTCTCATCTCATCTTTTTTTTCCCATGTGGTGAGATGTTGTTTTTCATTTTGTCATGGAAACTAATATGCATGGTTTGTATACATTTCCCCATAGGTATGTATTTCTTTACATGACTTTTCTGATGTGTGCATGTGTATGCACATTTATATCAATAAGTAAAGAGTGTTTGTGCATATATTTTCACTTACAGTATTTTAGTTTGTATTTTAGAAATGGTTTTGTGTGTACATCATTTCACTGAAATGCACTGCAGGTTTCATAAATGTGTGAATTTCCAAGACAAGGTGCACTTTTTAAAGAACATGTCTTTGAAGGTGCAGAGTGGGGTACTTTCATGAGGACGTCAACGTCAACAAAATTCCTTCCAGCTTTAAATGAGATAGACAAATTTTCACATACCTAGCCACACATAATACTTTTCTTGGCTCCTAAGGTAAAACTGAATTTTGATGTGTATTATCTAAGTTCTGTGCCAGTTACTTTCCCTTCCTCCTACCTCTTTTTGCTGCCAGCCGGAACAAGAAACCACCCCAAGACACAAACAGGAGGTATAATGTCTCTGGAATGTCTTAACTCCACATCAGTGCATACTAGTGTTCATCCTCCTTAACAATGCAAACAGCATTGTATGTGCCTCTGTTTGCTGGAATATAAGATGCAACTCAGACTAGGAATTGAAAAAATTCCTTTGTAACTATCTTTCCGATAAACTCGATCCTTAACTGCAAGACATGTTCTTCCCTAGCAACCCAAGTTGCATCTTTTATCCCATTAAGTAAACCATTCCCCTTCATCCTGTTCATATGAGCAAGAAACCCTCCAAGGAAGCAGTCACTTGAGCTACTTGCTTCCTTGGAAATCATATCTATTTTATCACCCAGCTGACTCTCTCTCTCTCTCTCTCTTGATGGAATTCATTTTCTCTTTTTCTTCCTTTTTTCCAGCCTTGATGTCTTCAGGCATGAGATAATTATACAGGAGTAGGCTTGACGAGCTGTTAGATCCTTAAATTGTAGAACAGATAGTTTGCATTCCTGTCCTCATGTTGGTCTACTCAAAGTCAGAATTGAAGCTGAACTTTTAGCCCAGTTGGTAAAAAGAAATGTAAAAATGTTGTTTCTAGTTTTTCCTTTGAATGCTAAATCTCATACAACTACAATCATACATGCTAGATTAATAAAGATTAGGAATATGTTCTTTCCCCAAACCTACTATGTTACCATATACATAGCTGTGAAGAAGCTGAAAATGTTCTTCATAATTTACCGCAAAGCTAATTAACTGGAAGTGAATCCTACTTGGCAGAGGTGCTGTGTAAAACAGAAATGTGAATTAACTATTTAAATACACCTATTTAAATTCTCTGCTGTGCACACACAGAGAGACATTACTTGTCACACAAAAGATTTCTTGCTAATTTTAGGAACTTCATATCAGGTTGTAGAGTCAGAGTTAGAAAACAGTCTCGCAAAGCTAATTAACTGGAAGTGAATCCTACTTGGCAGAGGTGCTGTGTAAAACAGAAATGTGAATTAACTATTTAAATACACCTATTTAAATTCTCTGCTGTGCACACACAGAGAGACATTACTTGTCACACAAAAGATTTCTTGCTAATTTTAGGAACTTCATATCAGGTTGTAGAGTCAGAGTTAGAAAACAGTCTCCTCTCTCTCTATTCTTCGGCCACCTGAAGTTCATTGCTGGCTGTTGTTCCCTCCATGTTGTTGTCTCATCATCCATTACTTTGCATGTTCTGTAATGCAACCCTTAATGGTCCTAATTTATAACCTCACTGGTACATGAATGGGACAAGAGGCAAACTGCTTCAGAGATATACATCATTTTTTATTTCTTCACCTCTAGGGTAGTCATTCCAAAAATGTGCTCTGTAATGTACTGCAAGAGAACTCTTAGTCTGCCATGGGAGATAAACCAATGGTGTGGTCCTATACTCACTTGCCTTGGAATAAGCCCCAGTAAACTTACAGTTTGACCCAACTCCGGGAGGCAGTGGAAGACAGGAGGGCCTGGCGTGCTCTGGTCCATGGGGTCACGAAGAGTCGGACACGACTAAACGACTAAACGAACGAAACTTATAGGGGCTTAGACACATATAAGTCTGTATTGTAAAAGCTTCTGTGAGTATCAAAATAAAGAGAAAGTTGCATTTCTGTATGAATTGCCTATTTTGGTCTTGCATCTTCCAGATAGCCTCTATTGCAGACAAATCATTTTGCTACACTGAATGTCATTGGATCATTCATTCTCTTGCAGTACAGAGGCAACAGAATTAGCTGTCCTCACAAATGGCTCCCTATTACATGAATTGCTGATTGTAAAGGGGTTTGTGTGCCTTAAGTTGGCAATCATACCCAGAACAGAGATTCAGCAAGAGACTCAAGAAGTACATTCCTTGGGGTCAAATCATTCTTAGTCATATAGAATCCAAGGGAAGATTTTCAAGGGCGTGAACTTTTTATTCCAGAGGAAAAGTTTACTTAGTTTGTTACAAATTTGGGAAGTGCTACTTCAGAGTAAGGGAAATTGACACAGCTGATGGTTTCGTGTGGGGCCTGGAAGCAGTCTTTAAATGCATAGAAGGCTTTCATTCAAAACACAACAAAAATGGGTGGGGAATTCAACTATTCCTAAAACCTTAGTTCGTATTTGAACTTAAACATCTAAGGACGTCTTCTCTTTGAATCAGTTTGCATAGTCCAGGAGAGTGGAGCTTCACTTAACCACAGAAGAAGGATTTTAAAAAGCTTTATCTTAGTGCTTTATGATAAGCCAAGTGTACTAATTTATTCATATAGTTCAACATTTTTGTGCCTTTTTCTCTGTTTGGAATGACCTATGTTCAGTTTCCAGATAATATTTTATATCTGTGGCCATTTTGATCACAGACTTGATGTCCTGAGGACACCTAGTGGAAATTACTAGAGGAAACTATCAATGCTGAATAGCAACAAATTTGGCTGTGTTTTGGCTCCTTGTACTATTGGCTACGGCCAGTCTTTCAGTTTAAAAAAATGAAAAACATGGACCAGTAGAAGCTGAGAAAGAGCTCTTTTCATTCTCCTTCAATATTTACTTTAAAAATCTATTTTAAATCAGTTGGGCAGCTCTATGGGAGAAAAACAGTATAGAAATAAGCCAAATAGATAGATACATAGATACACAGATAGGATTAAATGTGTTTTTGCAGCTTTTGGGAGCAATTCTTTTGACCTCAAAAGAACAGAAACCTTCTTTATTCAAGTGCATGGTGGCACCTCTTTTTCAGCACTATCCTACTCTGTGGTTGAATTTAAATCATGTGGCCATGACAGGACAGATTTCACTTCGCAGGATAACACGGCTTCTGAGATTCCAAATTCAGTGATGCTTCCACCTCAGAAAGCATCACTCATTTGTCCCACTCATGTTCCGCCCTCTAACCCTCTCCTCAGTAGTTACCTTCCTTCCCCTCTCCCTCTAAAAGTTTTTAGACAAACCGGAAGATGTTTTGCTAAAGCACCAGGCGAGCATCAATGAGTTGAAGAGGACATTGAAGGAACCCAACAGCAAACTTGTGCACAGGGACCGGGATAGGAGGCTGCCATCCTCACCCGCCTCTTCCTCTCCCAAACATGAGGATGAGACACCAAAGGGAACTCCAGAGAAGACCAATGAGGTTTGTTTTGCTGTATTATCCTGATACGAAGTTTTGACTGTTAGGTATCAAGACTATATGCAGTTGAGTTCATGTTTGTGTCTTTAGAATTCTGTACGATACAAAGTTTTGACTGTTAGATATCAAGACTATATGCAGTTGTGTTCATGTTTGTGTCTTTAGAATTCTGTACTTGAGTCTCTATGTGGAGTCAGCCTGATCAAGGGCCATGTAGCATTATCTAAATTTTCCCCAGCCTGTATTGTCAGACATTGTTCCATATAACATGGTTTAACTAATGTGGTGAGTGCCTTGCTTTCTTGACTGTTAAAAGTGGTGATTTCTTCCATTCCAGGTAATGATTGATTGATTGATTGATTTACATATTTATTTACTTACTTATTTACTTACTTACTTAACTAATGTGCCGAGTTGCCTTGCTTTCTTGACTGTTAAAAGAGGTGATTTCTTCTATTCCAGGTAATGACTGATTGATTGATTGATTGAATGATTTACATTTTTATTTACTTACTTATTTACTTACTTATTTTATTTATTAGATTTCTGTCAACAACATAATAATGACTTCCTTTCTTCAGTACCACTTCCTGCTATCCCTGCAAGGTATTCCCATGTGGGGAGGGATATGAGCTTAATGGTTCCAGAGTGCATATGCTGCATGCAGAAGATGATACCAGAGTCAGTGTTTTACATCTCCCATTTAAAAGGTCTGGTAGGAGGTGTTGGAGAAGACACATGGACCATCACATGTGTCTGAGGAAGTGGATTTTGATCTGTTGCGACTCACATGGAAATAAATATGTTAGCCTTTAAGGAGCCCCAATATTTTGTCCTTTTCTCTTCCCCTCCCCCTGCCAGTTGGGCGATTCACTGCCACTCAGAATAGAATATGCAGCTAGATTAGTGGTTCTCAACCTTGGCTATTCCAGGTGTTCTTGGACTGCAATTCCCAGAAGTCTTGACCACCAGCTGTGCTGGCTAAGGTTTCTGGGAGTGGCAGTGCAAGAACACCTGAGTCATCCAAGGTTGGGAACCATTGGCCTAAATGTACCAACATTGCCCCTTCTTATAAGGCAGTTTCCTTTGTTCTTACTGTGGAAAAGGTGCTAAGTTTTTCATTTTTGAAGAGCTCATCATATTAATCCCATAAATATAAAATAAAAACTAGAGGTAAACAATATCGAAATTATATTTGTGTTTCTAATGTTGGGCCCTGGAGGTGGTGAAGATTTCTCTAATTGCGAATCTTTGGTGCGACTATGGATATTAAACAGGGTAAAGGTTTTTTTTTTTTTGTATTACAGTAGTGCTTTATCCAAGCAAAGCCTTTTACCAATTGCTAATGGTGCATACAGTTGATTTCTCTTGTTTTATACAGTACTATGGCTTTTTATTTCATTTGCCAACCTATTCTCTAAATGTCTATTTCATTTCCTAAATGATAATTTGACTCTCAAGCTTTAATAGGTAGTATAATGTTCCAAGCCAAACCCTAACCACCCAAAGGGAAATGCAATGGCAGTATACTAAAAATGTGTGACTGCCTCCCTGCCCATGTGCCTGTTACACAAGCAAGTGGGAGATCACCACAAATCAACATGAGGACATTTGTTATGCACATCTTCCTTGATACAGCAGGTGGGATCAACCCACTGCTCGTCTTGATCTATATTTGGGTGAATTATAGTAGATTCAGTAGTCAGGAGTTAACAGTCCAAGATGTGAAATATGCTTTCTTCTGATTATTTCGCATGCTTTTATTTTTAGCTGTGTGCTGAAGATTCAGCTACTGTATTTCTGCAGGCCTTCCTAGTGCATATCAGTCTATATAATGGATAGTGTAGATGATATTGATTCTGTGTGTGGTTTCATATGATACGTTTTATGGATTACATACACTGCTTTGAACACTCTACATAGATCATAAATACTGTAAACATTGATAAACAAACAACCCATAGGATAGGCAAAAGATACCAGACCAAACTTCAGATTGGTAGGAGGGGACATTATAGCAGCCATGTAAAATCAGTAGCCATAATCCTTTTGCCAGTTTTTGTTTTCATAAAAGAAATGGAGTAAGCCTTGATAGCCACTAGCTGCTCACTAATGGGGTACAGTTAGGGATGAATTTGTTGTAAATAGTGAACTGTCAGTCCCAAAACTCATCAAGGACCCTTTAAGCCAAATTATAGGACTGGAACCCCTCAAACTGGCAGGAAGTAGAGCTTGCCTCCATGCCTCTTCTTCATGCCTGCTTCATCATGGGAGTAGCAATGAATATACAGTATAGGGGGAAAGGAATCCTTGCAAATCCCATGGGGTAGCAGGGCACATTTCTAATGGTACAAAGAAGTAGTGCAGGAATGACATGGAAGTAAGAGGGCTTCTCTACTTCCTGCAGGTTTGAGGGCTCCCAGTCCTATAATTTGGCCTAGGGGGCTCCTGCTAAATTATGGGAGTGGGATTTCATTATTTACATTATATCCATTCCCTAACCAGCATCCCATCAGTAAGCAACTATTGGCTGTCAAGGCTTACTCTATTTCCCTTATGAAAGCAAAAACTGGCAACAGGATTCTGGCCACTGATTTTTACACGGCTGATGGGACCAAGAGTTCATTACTTCCAAAAATTCTGTTCCTAGTACTAGTTGCATTCCTGAGTATATGCCCAATCATGTAATGGATAGGGTGTGTCCAGGAACACAACTAGCAGCAATTTGCTACAAAGACTTAACATGTATTTCTCTTTTACAAATGTAAATCAGCAATACAGTTTTGGCTGTTCTGAAATAGAAAGGTATCTAATACCATTATGTTCAGTATAGATGTTAAGCATCACACTTCACGATACCATACTTTAATTAGACTAGATGGAGTGGTTAAATTAGTACTGGGTGGAGACTGCTAGCTTTACCATGATGGCAACTCTATGCAGGAGGCTGAAATGTTTGAAAAAATCATTTATTGTTTGAGTCTTCGGATCACATGTCCCCCAGAGAATAATCCACTCTTGCTTTCTAATATTATGGTTTCTCCACAGAGCCAATGCCATGTGGGAAATGTATGTAGTTGCTTCCATGTGGTAGCTATTCTGCTGAGCTTTCTCAGAGAATGTTGTTAATTTAGCAAGGAGTGCCCATAAAGCAACTGGGGAAGCTGTAGAATACAAGTCATACCATTTTTTTGTCAAGAGAAGAGTTACTTTGAAAATATAATGCCATTATACTCTATATGGAAGGAATTATCTCTCTTATTTATCCTGTCATTCATTTACTTGCCTTGTAAATTTCTGCCCAAAATTAGGATTGAGGGTAGCTCATAAGATTCAAAATGGCTGCAGAATACCCTACAAAAATTAAATTAAACAATTAAAACAAATTACAACATAAAATACTATTGGATTAAAAAGAAATTAAAAAAAAACATAGGACAAAATCCTGTTACTGTACTGCCATAAGTGCTCAAGAGTCATCACTTATATTCTTCATTGTGCACATGGGGCATAAGTAAAAGAATTCGGACCCAGTGATTAAAAAAAGTAGCATCAATCTATTAATAATCTCTAAAAAAAGTATCTCTGTCAGCCACAGGACAACAGGGAGGGACACTTTAACTTCTCTTGGAAGACAGTTCCACATCTTTGGAGTAGCCATTGAGAAAACCCTAGTTCATGTCCTCATCATGCTTGACTTTGAGGACAGTGGGACTAGGAGCAGGGCCTCCTTCATGATTGCAAAGTCAAGGCTTATTTGTATGGGAAAGCATGGTCTTTCAGATAGCTTGAACCAATTTGTATAGGTCTGTATACAGTAGGTAATAGCCAGCACTTGGACTTCTGCTCAGAAACAGACCAGCATCCTGTGAAATTGTTGTAAGAAGTGGCATGCGCTCCCTGTAACTGGACCCAGTCAAAACTTTGTTTTAGCATTCTGGACTAATTTATCTTCACATATGGTTTATTCATTGCAGAAATAAAGAAATTGTATGTTCAGTATAACGTAGTAGTATGCTTATGTGGCAAGATGTTCTCAATAGCAAAGCTCATACTGAATTCAAAGAACACATGATATTTTTTTTCCATACAGGAGGATAGTTACAATGATGTACAGGTGTGAATATATGGATAGCTAGCATTCAAGTTTCTGGCATGAATATTATGATTTTGGCAGTTTCTGTCAGGGGAGCTTTCTTCTGCATGTGGTGCACCTATGCAATAGATTTGTCTCATGTCTGTTCAGATTAAACAAATTCAGTTGGGCAAGAAAATTCTTTAATTCTGCCATATAGTCTTTCCATCAGTACATCCTGAAATAGCTCACTGGAAGTGAAAGATGTGACGGTGGCTTAATGAAAAGTATTTGAAATGAAAGTTCTGTACATAAATAAATAAGGTGTGGAGCTCCTCTCATCTGTACACCCTGTTTTTAAACGGAGATTTTTCCACTCCTGCTTTTATACATGCATATGGCAAACAAATGAGTCAAAGGTTTGCAAAACGTAAGTTCTGTATGAGACGGAAGTTGGCTGGGTTGCTTTATGCTTGAGTGAGCCATCACAGAGGGAACTGAAAAATGTTTGGCAGCTAACTTCATGTCATTGGTTGCTACTGTCATTGGCATAAAGAAGCTAGAACTTTAAAAAAATGGATGATCTCCCATACAAATTACCTCAGGATGTGTAAGAGTAGAGTGAAAATTCTCAGTGTAGATTCTTCTCTGTACTTTATTTACTGTCTCTTTCTCTGCATTTCCCCATCTTCTTTTCTGTCTCTTTTTCTCTCTCTTTCCCTTGGGTCTTGGGTTTCCCCTGATGAAACAGATGTCAGAAGAGGATTCTCCAGAGGATCTATCATCCGAGCATGGAGCTGCCTTAGTCATGGAGTCTTTTACACAGAAAAGCCTTGTTTCTTCTCCTGAGGTTATCACCACTCTTTCATTTTCTCTCTTTTCCGTATCTGCTTTTCTATATCTGCTTCTTCTCTTGTTTCTTTCTGTAGTAGTTTGGTTGTAGTACTACACACATTATGTGGGAGTGAGTTTCAAAAATACATGGTATCAATAGTAAATAAGGGATTCACTTGGAACATATCTCAACATATTTAGAAATTTTTATTCCATCTATGCCAGTGACTTTTCTGGGAACAATATAAAAGGCAGGTACAGATTATCGTAGAGTTTTGTCCCAACTGAGCAATAGTGCAACTGAATGAAAAGCAGCTATGCTATAGTATTGATAGTGTATTAGTTCTCCAAAGATGCCTGTATTCTACCTGCAGCATATCCAAGTCAGCGTGGGAAAGGCTTTTCTCTCGTGGTCTGCCCCAACAGTTGCTTCCAAAAGCAACATGGATGGCAAACCAGTTTATAATGAGACTTGGTTCCCTGTGCATTGTCACAAGAACTGAGTGTGAAGCCAAAACATAACTGGAGTGGAGGAAAAAAATTGTAATGCTCGAATACGGTTACCAGCATAGCCAAAGAGATCTAAAAGGGAGCTTCAATTACTCTGCTGAGCACAGGGCCAAGTTTGATTGAACTATATTGCTTTGTAGTGTGTAGAGAAAGAACAGGTACCCCATCGAGCTCTACATAAACCAGACACTGCTAAAAGAAGAAGCTTTTTCTAGATACCAGTCAAGCCACAGAAATTATTTCTCATCAGTTGTGTGTGTGTGTTTACCATCAAATCTGACTTTAGGCTATCCTAATAGGGTGTTTAACAGTATCACCCCCCAAGTGAGTTTCTATGCCAGAATCCAGGTCTTCTGAATCTTAGTCCATAATCACCACACCAAGCTGCCAGCAAATGTAACCTGATATTTTCTTGGATTTGCTGAAGCAATTATAGGGCCATTGCAGAATAGGCCAACCCTTTCATCCATCAGATAAAATAATGTATTCACCTCATCAGTTTTCTCATAAAGAGAAAACTGGCCATGGGGAAAGGGGTTTGACTCTCCTTCTCTGTTATTTTGGCTTCTAGTTATAGGTGTAGTTGTATGTATGTCCTGTCCTTATCCCACACATTATATCTAATCAGGGGGCTTAATATCTCAAATTCTGTGGCGTAACTATTGGATGAAACCTTTGACAATTTTCAGAGCAAGAGTCAGCTACCTGAATACAGACTGCATTAGTTATACTTAAGTCCAACTGAAAAGAGTGTGGAAAAGTAGGTTATCAGGTCTTTTTGATTTAGATGGATCTATGAGGACTCATTTTAGTTTGGGTCAAATCTATATTGCTATTATTAGTTACAATCACACACAATAAATGAATAGGGACCAAGAGCAGTGCGTAGAAGTTGTTTTGGTGGCATCTTATCCAAAAACTTTCATTGAAATATTTAATCAGAACTGACTTAAAATACGCAACAAAATAGCTACCTGCTTTCACAACAGATGGAATGGGTTGATTCAATAGTTGCAGCACAGGGTGGATAAACACCAGTGCTTTTTAAAAGATCAAATTGATTAAATTAGTGATTTAAATTTTAAAAATAATTTCAAATTGTCAAAAATCCAATTTTTAATTTAAATCATGATTTAGATCAAATTCACTCTATTGCAAAATCAGCCTATGTCTGATTATATAATCTACTGTGCAAGTCAAGCGTGTCACTATTTATCTACATGATATGTACTACAATGCACATACTAAGAAAATTAAATAAGATGATGATCATTAAATCATGTATCCAGTTTAAAAGATTTACTAGAAAAAGTAAAAGATATATTTCTTATATAAAATATATATTTTGAAAACTTGTGAAAATATTTCATATATGTCAAGAAAAAATGCAGCTGTTTACACATGCAATAAGATAAACTGCCTATGCAATTTGTGTGGCCTGCACTTTCTTTGTAAAAGAGAGGGGGAAGAAAATGAATGCATTTCAAAGAGCAGTTGTTCGCCCGGATTGTTGGATGAAATGACAGATATATAGTAGAAATGAATGGGGAAACTGATTTTTTGCTGATTCCCATGGAAAGTGGCCTTATTGATGTTCTTGGACTAATATCTAGATCAGAACCTACCTATTCAACATATCAGATATATATTTAAACATATTTTGATAAAGCATACATTTAAATAGACATTTTGAGAGGTTTTCTAAAGTTATAGTAAGCAGAATGTTTGATAGAAATCTCTAATCTGAAATACTGAACTGCAAAGTAGGACTAAGCTTTATTCGACATCAGTCTTTCAGCTGCAAATCAAGGGTCTGGTATATGACACCGTAAAGTAGGGATATAAATACTCCCTTAGTTTGTTTTCTATTTTCCACAAAATGCAGGAGAGATATTTTTGTTCATGATTCTTCTCTTGTACAGGGGCAAAAAGCCTCCCAGCAGTTGATTACTTTTCTAGCGGTGTCTCTCAGTGTGGCAAGAGACATTGAAATCGTATTGTGCAGTTCTGTATGGACAATGGGGGTGCCATCACCAATAGCACATTGCTGCTGGTTAAAGGTGATTTCAGAGTGCATGTGACTTGTACACAATGCAGCCAAGTTGTACGTACTCTGAAATTGCCAAAGGAAATCTTTAATCAGCAGCACTTTGTGACTGATAATGACAACATCTCTGTTACACAAGTGGAGCTGACAAAAGGATCTATGGACAAAAGGATTTCAGTCGCTTTTTCATCAAAACCAAAAAAATCTTGCAAATATTTGTTACATCCTTACTCTTATGCTTCCACTTTTTTTCCAACTGTGCAATTGAGTCACTGTTGAAAGCCATGTAGAGTTACTATGTGGTCTCTGATTGATTATAGTCACCTGGATCTGGCTAATGCAGGGAGTACTTCTTTCACTTTAAATCAGTTTTGCTTTCCCTTCATGGTATACCCACACAGCCAAATGTGAAAAGGTACGTAGTGTTGTGTTCTTAATTGCATTCATCATGTGAACACTGATTAGTTGGGATCACTCTAAGAGGAGAAATGAAGTCTAACCAAGGGGAAATAAAGAAAAAAAGAAACTTATAAGAGAAAGAATAACAATGAACAGGTTGAAGAAAAGTTGAACACTGAAGGGTGTTTTTCTGACCACTGTGAAAGGACTTTTTGAATGCCCAAATTGAAATCTGCAAATACTGGGCAGAGCACTAAATGTTAGTAGAATATTTGAGGATAGACGTGGATGTGATATTTTTGTGGATGCTGTCAGTGTTTATATAAATAACACTTGCTGCACCTATGTGCGTTGCTTCTCAAAGTGAAAGGATGCTAGTTTTGTGGGGAGACGGTTTGTGTAAATTTCAGAGACACTAGCTGAAATGCATATATATTAAATGGCAAGAGGAACAGCAGAACTGTAAATTGATGTTGGAAATCCAAATACATGAATATTATGTAGTCATGTTTGGGCATGCAACCTGGCATGTGTTTGGTAATTCATTTTGTGCATACAATCTTGTTTCCCCAAAATTCATTGTCGTTATTGAAGTGTCTTACGTTATAATTAATCTAACTGCACTGTAGTAATTTCTGGCAGATTATTTGCAAAATCTTTTTTGTAACAGTACATCCTTTCTTTCCATTAAAAAATCAGCAACGACGTAGCTAAGCACAAATAAGAGATCTAGCTAGCCCAAACTGGCCTGCTATATGTCTAGTGTTAAAATTCTGAAACACCATGCAAAATAGCAAGGGCTTAATCTAATCCTTTGTCACTCTTTGTATCACACTCTGGTCATGGAACCAGGAGTTGAAAGTCAGTGCAAGAAGTGGGTCAAACACCCTTTTTATATTTTTGCTGTTTGCTTTTGTTGACTTATGAGCAACACTGCTGTCAATTCTAACTATTGGGTGCCTGTGTAAGTTACTCAATGAACTTGTCTCCTTTTAGGTAAACCTGGGGTTTGCCTGTAGTTTTCTCGGGATCCTCTGAAGTCCCGCTCCCATGGCCAGGGTGCGATACACCCTTCCACCACTATTCCATTAATATGTGCTCTTTGGGCTTTCTTCCACAGAGATGACTGAACTTTAACACTGCTGAGTGTGTAATGGAACTAGGTAGTGCACACAGCATAAAATATAAATCACTACATATTAATGCACTGTTTTGCCAGTGTTTCAGCAATTTGGTACTGCTGTGTTACATAGTGGGCTTCAATTGTTGCTGCCTCCTACTCTTCCCTGTAGTATTGCTTTTACAACAGTTTGTGTACCCATCTCCATTGTTTATTTTGCTAGCCTTGCCTTCCTTATCCTAGCCCTCTGCCTTTCTTCTGAACAAAATTTGTCTTCAGTTCAGATTTGCTGAAGCTTGAGACAGAACTTGCACTTTCCATTGGTGTGTCCAGAGAAGGGAAATATTATTCGAAGTTATGGACATGGCTTCTATGTCACTGTGTGTTCTTTTCTGGAAACCTCAGAGGGGCAGCTTGCCTCTTTTTAAACAATAAGCTATTCCTTCTGTGCTCAATGTATCTTTATGCTTTGCTTCTCAAAGTGAAAGGATGCTACTTTTGTGGAGAGATGGTTTGTGCAAATTGAAGAAACACTGGCTGTACTCATATTGCACAGGTCATGTGCACAACAACAATGGTGTCAACATCAGTAGCAAATCAGTGCTGGTTACATGCAAATTGCTGCCAATTAAAGGTGATTTTGGGGTGCATACGATTCATATACAAAGTGGCAAAGTTGTGTGCATGCTACAATCCCTAAAGGAAATGTAATTTGTAGTGACTTGCCACTGCTGATGACATCATCCCTGTTGTGCACACAGAGCTATGCAACTGGATTTTAGCCATAGGCAGGAAAAATAGCAGCTGTTGTCTTCCTCCTCCAGTGGCTTGAAAATTCTTCACAGTCCAACCCCCTGCTCGATGTAGGAATATAAATCAAAGGATATGAAAATCAATGAAAGCAAAGGATTTAAAAAGTTATCTTTAAATCTTTGCTTGGTAGTCATGGCTAAATTAAGTCCCACTAATTTTAGTAGAACTCATCTAAGTAAGGACTAAGGGTGTGATCACATGGGGAAATAGATCACATTTTGGACTGCTTGTGGAGCAGTCCAGTGCAGTCTGTTTCCTACCAACCACACAATGTACAGAGAAATGAGTTCCAGTGTGATCCCTATCCCATGCCCAAGCTGGACCTTTTTGGTCCAGCTGTAGGGCTGCTACTTTGAAGGGCTGGGCTGGAGCAATTCCAGGTAGACAGGAAGCTTGCTTTAAGGGATATTGCCTCCTGCAAATCAGTCCTTTCTAGTGTGATCAGCTCATGCCTTCTCAGCCATTTGGTCACAACCTGAGTTTGGATCCAATCCTATGGGAGAAGACCTGTGAGTTTGGATATACAGTATGTGCAAAACATTAGGCTATCCTTAGAGATTAATTAAAGTAGTTGTGTGTAACAACTTAGGAGTGATTTAGTTAAATGAGTGCAGAATGCATATATGACTAAACATTATACTCATGTTTTTCTGTTTAGATGTAGTAATAAGCAATAGGGCATCGTATTCAATTTTATTTATATATAGAACAAAGTTGTGTTGGTTTCATTTAATGTATGTTTTCATTATATTAAATATAATATATAAATGAAACCAACACAATTTTATCCTATAAATAAGCCTATAATTTTAAAAATCCTTACTGAGAATTTCTATCAGCACTAATTTCCTTCTGCCACTACAAACGTGTATATAAATCTAATCAAACTATACTGGCATCATGTGGCTGAGAATATCCTTGAGCAATTGAACAAAATATTCTGTTTGAATTGGTGCATTAGAATTCTGACTTTTGATAATCAGATATTGAATTTCCAAGCCTTTAATCCAGTAGTTTAAAACACAACAATATGACAATTTTCTCATACTTTGAGGGGAAATCAGACATCTGCAAAAAGAAGGGAGGAACTCTTGTTTGCTAAAAGTTCGTTCCCAACCCCCTTTGTAGAACTAAGCTTTATTTTAACACCTGTTTAGACAGCATCCAACATCTCTTTACAGTCATCTACTTCAAATTGTTTCATGAGTAGTAATACTAGATGGGTAGATAAAAACACAGACACACACAGACACACAGAGAGATTTGCAATCGTCTTGTTAACATATTTAATTTATGTTTAATGCTAACTCTTCTTGCTCCAATTGTAATGCAGGGTTCAGAGCATTGGGTGTTTATAGAAAGAAACACTTCAGGGCTGGAAGAGCTAGCACTAAAACAAATTAGTGATATCCAGAAGGAGGAAACACGCACAGGTCCCTCAGAGAAGCAACCAACTCTGGATTTAACAAAAATGACCACTGCAGTAAGGGAACTCAAGATGGCTGAAAAGCAGGAGGAAAAACCAAGTGAGGAAAGCAAAACACAAATGCACAAAAGAGCCAAAATGATAGCCAGTCCAGAGGATTTTGAATCACTGTGGGAGGATGAAATGTGTGAAAGAGAGAAGAGAAAACACTCTTCTGAAACAGACGGACAGACAACTGAGGAAAGAGATGTGCCGGCAGTAATACTTGCTTCCACTGAACCTGAAGAGGAGAAAGAACCAAAAGACAAAATGGAAGCAGTGGCTGTTGCCTCCACCAAACCCGGGATGACTGAAGCAGAGAAAAATGAGATTGAAGTAAAGGTGGTTGCCTCTACTGAACCTAGGAAAAGAGAAGAGCCGAAATACAAAACACAGACAGTATTGGTAGCCTCCAAAGAACTTGAGCAACCAACCCAGTCCATCAGTGGGCTAAGAGAAAAAATTACTGAACCTGAAGATTTACAAGCAGAAAACATACCAAGGTGTGCTTCTTCTTGGCCAGAGTCTAAAGAAGAAAGCAAAATTATAATACAAGAACACAGGACTATTTTGACAGTGTCAGACAAGGAAGTGTTAAAAACTGCTTCTGATTTTGAATCTATTAAACCTAAGGTGAAACTGAGCGATAAGGCAGTATATTCTGCTACAGAAAGGATCATCTATATAGGTTCTGAAGAAATAGACCAACAGGATAATGCGGCTGAGAAAGTACCTGACAGGGGAAAGCAATACTCATCTGAAAAGAAGCGAGAAAACCAAACAGACTTGTCAGATGAAAAAGAAGAGACAGCTAGTCTTTCTCCAGTAGCAGATTCAGGAGAGACAGGAAGACATGAGTTTCAGTCCTATTCACTTACACCTGCTGAAGGAAAATCAGAGGTTAGTAAACCAATTACAAGATCAGCTCAGTCTGACAAAAATACAGAAGATGATGAATATGTACAGCCTTTAGAACAGTGCTCTAGTAAAAGAGAGAAGCCTTCATCAACTCTAGAGGAAAAAGCTTCTGTGGATCCAACTGCTTGTGAGACCAAAGATTACAGGGACACTAGGCCACTCTCTTCTACAGAGGATTCAAGCCAAAGAGTTTCCAATGTATCATCACAGCTAAAATCTGGATCACCCACAAAAGAAGATAAATCTAATCTTACTTCTAAGCAAGAGCAGAGCAATGATGGAACACATAGCCCTTTTCAAGAAGATGAAGTATCTGATGAGAAGAGTGACATCATTGCCCAAAAAAGTGACATAATATTCACAGCATCGGAAAATCAAAGGGAAAGAAACAATTTAAATGAAATGGAAGTTTCTCAGATACTGCTTCAAATGGAAGACATAGGGACTACAAAATCTACCCCAGATTCCTTGCCACAACAGTTTTCCTGTACTGCAGATATTTCAAAAGAAGAGCAACATAAAACACAGAGTTTAAAGACAAGAGAGGCAGAACAGTTTGAAGCCCTTGATTCAAGCAAGCCACCTGAGGCCAAGCTCTCTGAAACTCAAGAGTCTGCCCAAAATAAATGCATACGTTCAGAAAAATCTGTCAGTGATAGGCACCCTGAATTGGAGCCAGCAGCCAAAAATGACAGCTGTGAATTAGATTTTGTATCCATAGGCAGACTCCAAGAACTGGAAGATGAAGCCAATGCCAATTATATTGAAGTTGATCAGATGGCAAAAGATAAGCCCCCTCCTTCAGAAGACTCAACTGAAGGTAAACCATCATTTTGGGACAATAATTCAGAAGTGAAAAAGACACATGAAGTTGAACAGTCAGATAGAAATGAGATCCATAAAATAGGTAAGTTCAGTAAAGATGAACTTCACAAACCCAATGAACATGCAAAAGTAGAAAGGACAGCTAAGGATAAAATCTCAGAGGTTGAAGACAGATACTGTGAAGAAATGACAAAAGATAATCTCAGAAATTCAGAGGTGTCATCTCTAGACTCAGAAGACCAAGCCCATGACAGATCTAACGTGAAAAAGCCATCTGTGGATTACCTTTTATATCATGCTGACTCCACAGATTCTGTACCACCAGAACTGAGAGGAACACTCCAAGATAACTGTCTTTTGAAAGAAGAAACTGGAAATGTAAATGCTGTCTCTCCTCAGATTGGGGTGGCAGGAGACAATAGGGAGTGTTCACAGCCTTCTGATGTCACAACACAGAGCAGAGAACAACTTTTAACTTCAAGTGGAAAACAGAAACCAGACCTTGAACCACTGAAGCTCATTTATTGTGGCTCATGTACTGCTGCTTCACCAGAAAATGATAAAAATGCAGCTGTACCACTAGAAAGTGATGGAGACTCCTTACTGCACAGAAGTGAGACAAATGAAAATATCTCTGTAGCTTCTAAAATCAAGATGTTTGAGCAAGGCGAAGAGCACCGTCCACTTTTTCATGAGCACCGTGAGGCCTCAAAGAAGTCCCTAGAGTATTGTCCTGGCAGTGACATACGAAAGGATCTGCCAAAGATGCACATAGAGATACATAAGGATATTCCCATAGAAAAGGATGGTGCAAAAGTTAAATCGTCCATAGCCCCTTTGGATAGCAAAGGAGAGGATCCTGGAGAAACATCAGATGTTATCTATCTAGCCGTTGCACAAGGGCCAAGTGATGGAGAACCATCTCAGCCTTCATCTTGGAAGGAAGATATTTCTGTCGGATCAGAGCAAGGAGAAGAAGAAGGAGATGCTGAACTGGCGTCTCCTGATTCTGGCTGTGAAATCACTTTGGCAGAAGCTGTGGTAACTCCCCCAGATGAACTGTCCCAGTGGAAAGTTCATAAAGCATGTTGTGTGACTCGTCTTTATGCATCATGTGCCATGGCTTCAAACATGGCCGTTGACTGAAAGCCACTGCTTGCACCCCTTGTCCTTTTCTGTATGTGCGTGTGACCTGGCTCAGTTGCTGAATGCAAATCTGCTGGCCCAGGCAGCCCATCAGCTTTTCGATTGTTATTTTGTGTGTGTGCGTGTGAAAACTCCTAGAGATTTGGCTATCTGGAGAATGCCAGCGGCTAACCTGAAACCAGGCAAATGAGTATTGTGAATGCTCAGTAGCAAGGTGGGAAGGGATGACATGCTGAAAGCTTTGTATTTCTGCCCATACCTCCACGCACACACCTAGCAACAACATTCTCACGCTTCTAGCTTCTTTCTTCTTGCATCTCTTAGTTTTTGATATCCCTTCTTGCTTGGCTTGTGAGCCCTCCTTTTTTCTCCTCCCTTTGTCTAGCTAGTGGCTGGCTAACAAAATAGCTTCCCACTGCTCCAAAAGGCACTTTGGCCAAGATCCTTTCTGCTCCTTAAGACTAACCCCTTTTCTCTGATCTAGAGCAAATTTCAAGAACCATCTTGGGAAGAGAAGGATTTATCAGGCCCATCAGTAAAAGCCTGTCCGAAAGAAGAGAGTACAAAGGCTGCTGCGCCAGTGGCCCCTCAGGTCTCAATGCTGTTTTATTAACTCCTTGTTTTTGTGGTGTAGGAGCTCACTCTGACCAAGAGAAGGTCATGTGCCACCACCTCCTTCCCCTTCTTACTTAAGCTATTCTCTCTCTCTCTCTGCATAAATATATATAGCTTACTTAAGCTACTCTCTCTCTCTCTCTCTCTCTGCATAAATATATATATATATATTTCTATATATATACCCCGGTTTGTTTTAACTGCCCTTTCCCATACCTCTCAACACACCAGAATCTTGGACAAAGCCAGGCATAAGGAGTTGAGACACCATAGCTGCTAAGTAAAAGAGTAATGTTTACTTTCAGGTGTCCATTTAAAGCCTACTAGTGTCATAAGAAGCTTCTGCACTGACTTTGGTAACTTTTAGTTCAGACCCTAAGAGGGAGCAGTCCTAAGTGAATTCAAGGTATTTTGATACTGTGTTGAAAAACAATCTATAGGTCTGCTTAGCTAAAATTTCCACTTTAAAATGGTTGAGAGGTATGTTCAGCCTTCCATAGGAACTAGAGATGGTTTTTCCTCTGTTCTGTTTTTTTGTTGTTGTCAATTCCACTGATTAAAAACCCACCACGAGAAAGTTAATATATAAAGGTTTCTTTCTGATGGCATACTGACTCCAGAGATGTAAGTGCTGACAACACAAGCTCTTTCATACAGATATTATGCTCCCTTGAGATAGATTGAATGTTCCTTGCGCACCTTTTTAAAGTTTCCCTTAGAAGACGAAGTGAGATATAAGCAACATCTGGGCTGACAATACAGAATGACTTGATCTCAGTGAAATTGACAAACTTTCTTGCTTCTCCTGCAGTATGGCCAGCTAATTGATCTTAGATTTTGTTTTTCCCCTAAATTTGAACTTTTATTCTCTTCTGCTTGCCTTTCCTTCCCTCCTTCCTTTTGCTCCTACATTTGTAGTGGGGTTTTTTTCTTCTTACAGTGAGTGAGAATTTGAGGTCCCTTTTTACTGTATCATTATACTTGCTTTTTTGCACACAAGTATTTCTGTACAGGTACCAATAGATCCACTTATCTTTTTCACAGTGATACCTTCAAGGCTATGGTTTTATTTTCTCTCCTGCAGTTTTGCAAATAAAACCCTAAACCCTTCCCTTCTCTCCTCCCTGCAGAGACTTTGTTATGCAAAGAGTTTTGATTGTCATGCTTGGGGTGTTTTTGTTGTCCTTTTTATGATGTTTCCTTTCTCCTATGGCTTTCATGGGGTTCAGATAGCTTAAACCTTTCATTCAGCACTTACAGCCTCAGCTTCTTTCCTCCTTTTTGTCTCATTCAGAAAGCGGGATTGAGGGAGGGCACAGAGGAGAAAGCTAAGCCACCTCGGCACAGGGCTCCTGAAAGTGGGGATGAGGAGCAAGACCAGGAGAGAGACTCAGTCTTCCTGAAGGACAACCACTTGGCCATTGAGCGCAAGTGCTCAAGTATCACCGTCAGCTCAACTTCCAGTCTCGAAGCTGAGGTGGACTTCACAGTCATTGGTGACTATCAGAGTTCAGCCTTTGAAGACTTCTCCCGGAGTTTGCCTGAGCTGGACAAAGAAAAGAACGAGGGAGAAGCAGAGGGTCAGATTTTTTCTGAGGAATCTAACAAACCAGCTGCCAGGCAGGAAGATGATGTCAAGGATGGGGATAAGGCTCAAGTAATCCCAGAAGAGGTACAAAAGGGAGGCATGGTACTCAGATGTGTCTTAAGTGTCCTCATTTGCAGTGTTGTCTGTCTTGACGTTTGCATTGCTCAATGTGTTGTCCATCTCACACATCCTTGTAAGAGTACATCTATTTCCAGCCAACTAAAAAAAAACCTTCTGGAGTATTTTTACATATCCGCATAAATGTTTTGTTTGCATGATCGTTTTTTTACATCCAAATGCATGGTAGTCCTGTAAGTGTCTTTATGTATCTGCTAACTATAACCTAAACCTTCACATTTTAATCCACTGTATTTGTCTGACTGTTGCACCTTAGCTCTCATGGGGTGAGTTTGTCTTATGTGTTGCATGAACTCAGCAAGTAATGTACATTAAAGAAACTTAATTTCACGTGACAAATATCACTTAAAGAGGAATTCAACAGTCAACAATAATTCTCTTAAGTCATTTGGGAAGTTTAATTTAACTGTTTATTTAACTGTTCACTGACTGAAAAATAATCTAAAGAAGAAAGAGAAAGCACTGGGGAAATAATGCTATACAGAATTAAATCACATGTTATTGAGAGAGCAAATCTTACACTAGCACTCGGGTGACTCCAGCATTGTAATCTTTTCAGTGGAATTGTGTCTTGATCCATACAGTTTTGTATTAAAATTCAGCAGTCCATGATTTTCACCCTCCCCTCCCTTTGGTATAAAGCCATTAAGAGTTTTCCCCTTGCCTCATCTATCTCAAGCGTATTGCCTTTCTCCCAGATTATTATCTCTACTAGGATCCATTCCTTCATCACAGTGGCTTATGTTTTCAGTCAGTTTTCCGTGGTCTTGGTTTTTTTTTTAAAAAAAACACCCTGATCTTTGTAATAAAATACTTCTTGATTTCAAGATAAGTGAGAACTCTGCAGTTAAAATCACATCATCCATGATGTTGTACGTGCAAGAATTAAAATGGGATGGGGAGTGGAGTGCAAAAAAAAGCAATTTATGCCATTAAACTGAGCATGAATTATTGCTGAATTGTTTTGTTCTTTTGGTAGTCTTCAGTCATAAAAACAGAAACTGTGAAAAAAACAGAAGCAGAGAAATCTGTGCGGCAGAGAATCACTGCAACAGAAATTACACAGGTAGCTTTGACATTATTTTATTGCACTTCCTGCTTATCCTATATAGCCTGCTGCTAAGATTTCCTGCTTACCCTACACATCCTGCAGCATAACTCTGTTAGCAAAACATCATACTGAGATCACACCTACACTGCAGGGTTGCTCTTCTTGAAGTAGAAAATACGAAGTGCAGATTCAGATTAAATATTCTCTAGTTTGCTGTCCTGACAGTAGAGGTATCATTCATAAGCATGTTGCATGACTCTGGATGGCTTGTGGACTGAGGTGGGTCCCCCACCTGCAAATTGGGGGAGAGAATGCTGCCTCAGTCACAAACTGCCAATGGCATGGCTGTGTGTGTTTAAAACAATGCATTCTTTCTGCTTCCTTGAAGATACTGAATTGCCTAGTTTATGACCAAGTTCTAAACAGAGTACTGTATATGGAATGGGGCTAAATACATGAATTGACACAAATTCATGTATTCCACCTAATACTGGACTACAAATATTAGTGAAACATGAAGTAGAACAAATACTGGCCTTTTAAATATTGCCACTTTTATTTAACCTACATCTTTATAACAGATCCATGGCTTCCATTTTTCATGTCCAGGTTGATGGTGCCACCACGAGTGGAAAAGAGACCATAACCACTTCCCACGTTGTCAGCACAGAAACCATATCAACAACCACAGTAAGTAACATGGAAGAAGCTAGTGGAGAGGAAAACTCTTCGACCCCCTCAATCTCATATGTGCACATAAAGATAGAATGCTTTGAGGTGGGTCGTTACCTGCTAGCACCAATGTACAAAACGTACTGATACAATTATTCCACCCTGTCCTCCCTAACGGATTTTCAGAAATTACACGATACAACACAAATAAGTATCCCTTAATATATATATATATTTAAGGGATACTTATTTGTGTTTTATCATGTAGTTTCTATATATTTAAGGGATACTAATAATACTTATATATACCTTACTTCTTTGAAACAGCAACATTCCACCCAGCCACTCACTGTGTATAGATCACAGAAAGATGCTCTGAGGCCCAGGACATATCTTGGGTCTTTATCATGTTATTTAACTTGTACTCAGGAGAAAAAATGGTTCTTCTTCATGGTCTCTGTGAAGGCACACTAATGGATTTAGTGCGCTTGCACAGAGAAACCTTGGGATTACTAGAGCTTAAACACATGGTGCCTTTAACCCCACCCCAGCACCAAGTGCCTCAGCAGCACCTCGGTTAGGAGCTTTCCATTTCTCTTTCCAAAAGAAAAACCACCTTACCTTTGTCTTGGAATTCCTAGATTTCTGACTTGGACCATTCAACGTTTCTTCTTACTATGAATTTAAAAAAAAGAAAGAAAGAAAATGGACTGTTAAGTGTTTGTGTAAGAATGCTGTGATTTTGTTTATGGCTGTTCCATGCCTCTCTGAGAGGTGTAAGACCTGCCCCCCCCCCAAAAAAATAGCCCTCTCAGACAGACATTTCCGCTGTTTGTTTTGCTTAGGAGAGGAACACCAGCCGGCTCTCTGTGTGGTTTGTAAAAACTTTACAAAGCCAGCTCTTAAGTTGAGACTTCAACGTCGCCATTCCTTTTTGCGGGAGAAATCTCTCTCTTCATCTCAAGGCCCCCCCATGGAATCTACCCAAGCTGTGGGGCGTTCTCCAGTCTCAGGCTCTTCAGCTCCTCCTAAGACCCTGAAAGCACCTAAAATGGTGTTGAAGCCCCATGCTTCCTCCTCAGGCTCGAGGTCGACAGCTACAGTATCGACACCTAAGCCTCCCTCAGTTTCGATGCTGAAGAAAAAGAAGATCCCGAGGATGCCCCACGCCCAGTGCCAGAGGCCACACCATCCCCGCAGTTTAATCAGTCACCTGATTGGGGACATACCTCAGCCAAGGTCATACAGTTGGTGCAGGTTAGCCCATGTTCCCATCCGGGCTTGATATCAGGGCAGGCTTCGACGTTGCCTCCAGAGTCGGTGCCGGTGGAGGCTCCTAGGAAAAAGCAGAAGACTCATCACTTGGAGCCTCCTGCCAAGCCCAAAGTCCACTGATACCGCCCTGTGCTGCCCGATGCCTATTACCATCACCAGGACTTTCAGAGGAGACACCTCTATGAATGCCCTCATTATTACGACCCAGAAGGTTTTGATCTTGATCCTCACTACTATTCTAGGTTGTATGAACTCAACCCTTATTACCGGTCATCTCACGATCAGTACAGATGGCATTGCCCATCACAGTCACCCTCGTTGCCACGGTATCGAGTGTATGCCAAACAATATCCATATTCTGAGAAGGAATAACATCTTGGACCTCCACAGTGGGCATATCGGAAAAGACCCATGCTGGAGGATTACCTGCCACCTCCTGAAGCGAAGAGGTCTCGGTACCTGCTGGCAGTGCCATCCTGCCCTTCTCGGGTAGAGCCGGAACTTTGGTATGAGCCTTCTCCAGACCTGTGAACAACTGGGGTAGAAAAGCAGAAAAACCATCACGCTAAGGCAGAAGTCTACTAGCCAGTGCCCCTTTGAGTCAATCTCTCACCATCTACGGAGCACGTCCCTGTTGCCCTTGATACCAACTTGGAGGCCTCTGAGGTTGACTGAAAACAATTCACCCCCCCAATGTCCCCACCCCAGGCTCAGATATGGTGGAGAACTACCGTCCATCCCTGTCGAAAGACTACACTTCGTACTCACAGTTAATTCTGAGAATTGCGAAGGTGATGGACTTGGTGATTGATCAGCCAGTGTCAGAGGAGGTGAACAAGGTGTACGAGGATATCACTCAGGACCGGAGTCCTCTTTGCCTCGCTTTTATTTCGTCCCTTCTGAAGTTTGTGAGGGAGTCTTGGGCTATGCCCTCTACAGCCCATCAGATTCCTAGGAGGGTGGAAAACTTGTACAAGACACACAGTGAGAACAAAGACTTCTTGTCAAAACATCCTTTGCCTAATTCCTTTGTCATTGACGCCACACAAAACAGGGCCAGGAACCACTCCACAACAACTCCAAATAACAAGGAGGGAAGGAAATTGGACATTATTGGCCACCGTGTTTATTCATTGGCATCTTCTTTATTGAGGGTGGCCAACTGTGCAGCAGCCATGGGGGCTTACCACCACCACTCGTGGAACAAGGTGCTGCCGGCCCTGGAGGCACTCCAGAGGACATCCAAACCCTGGGTCTCGTTTTCCACCATGAAGCTATGGGGTTGGCTCATCAAGGAACTTATAGCGGCACGGCACATTGTAAATGCTGCTTCTAAGATTCTCTGTCAAAGGAGTGACCTACAAATTCAAGGCCCTTCCCTTTGGGTTGTCAACCACCCCATGAGTGTTCACAAAGTGCTTAGCCCCTGTGGCAGCTCATTTCTGCCTGCAAGGCATTGCTGTATTCCCTTACATGGATGATTGGCTGCTGGTGACACCATCTCAAGCCCAGGCCGAGCGAGGCACGGCATTGACTCTCTCTTTTATGTATTAGATATATGCTTCTTTCCATGAATTAGGAATTTAATGGTTGTTGTTGGTTTTTCGGGCTCTTTGGCCGTGTTCTGAAGGTTGTTCTGAAGGAGCACAGAGTGCTGTCCTCTGAAGATGCCGGCCACAGAGACTGGCGAAACTTTAGCCCGAAAAACCCACAACAACCATTAGATCCTGGCCGTGAAAGCCTTCACAAATACAATTAAGAATTTCCCCTTTCATCTGAACAACTTCAATTAGTTTCTTAAATTGTGGGGTTAAAATTTCTTCAAATGTCTTATAATAGTCTGCTGGTAATCCGTCTGGGCCAGGAGATTTGCTGCTTTTTTTTTCCTTCAATGCATTTCCATGCATTTGTTGACTTCCAAGGGTAGAATAGTTTATTTGGGAAAATGTGTTGCCTGTGTGTTTCAGAATTAGAAGATGAGAATTACTATGATATCTTCTCTTGTCATATATTCAAGTGGTGATGTAAATGTCTTCTTGCAGGATCACAGCCCCAAGCCAGGGAAAGGAACAACAGAACTTCGCTCCATTTCTCCAGTAAGTGGCTCATTTCCTTGTGTCTGTTGAGATGGGAGACAAACTCTAGTGGACTGATAGGCCAGATGATATGGAAGCTGAGATTTTGGTAGTTCACTAAACAGTTAAGCACATGTGGATTTTGTAGCTAACAAAAGGCCACCTAATTGATTATTCTACTCTCAGTAGCTGTCAGTGTTCAAAATCATACACACGAAAAACAGCTGGCAAGCAAACCACTCCCTGTTCCAATAATATGATTCATGCACTGGTTATGCAGCAGCTGGCTGTAATGAAATAATGATGTTTGCCTGATTATGAATGGACAGAAGCATAGACTTTCCTGACAAGTTTGGAATTAAAATTTCCATTTCCTCAGGACATTTAGAGCCTCAGCAAACCAGTATAGTTTTTCTTTATATTGTCTTTTGTGGAAGACACGTATGAAACAGAAAGCAATCATCATCATCATAATTTTATACATTTTTGATTGACTATGCCTGATATTTTTGAATAATAATAATTGTGTATATGTGTGTGTATAAGATCACAGAGGTCTGAGTAAGAGAGAGGAGTTTCTGATTTCACATGATCAGATCTGATAGTGCAGAACCTTCTGTACTATTTATTTATTTATTTATTTATTAGATCGGAAGACGTCGTGTAGGGAAAGAGTGTAGATCTCGGTGGTCGCCGTATCATTAAAAAAAAAAAAAAGTAAAACCAAGAGAATGTGCCACTCTAGGTGGCTCAAATGTTTTGAGACAGCCCCTGTGTACTGCCCAGTAAGGTTTACAACTGACAAGTACTGACTTGTCAGGATCTCCTGAAGATCTTACCTGACTTTGCTACCTGTGAGATCCTCTCAGTGAGATTTTCTTATGTTTCTGAATACAATAATGGATTGGGAACCTGCTATACAAGCAAAGTATCCACTCTTCCTGGACTATGACCTACCTTGAGTAAAAAGAAAAAAAGGAGACAGACCCTTCATCCCGCACCAACATGCATAAGAATGAGGAGTAGGGCTAAGAAAAATTAATACAGTGAGTCCAGTCCTAGTGGAAAAGCCATATTTAAGAGTAACTGGTGTGCAGTTGATCTGGAATGGGCTTTGTGTGTTTTTGTAGATCACCAGCAGTGCTGTTGGGAAAGAAGCCTTCACAAGCCTGTTTGGCGCCACGGCAGAAACCCTCTCCACTTCTACCACTACCCATGTTACCAAGGTAAGAGGAGAGAGGAAAACAGAAACATAAGGGCATCTCTGCCTTTTTGCTGGGATAATGTAGGGCACTTAATTTGAGAAATGATAAATGCAAAGCAAAAAACAAAGTATGCTGCTTATATACCACCCCATAGTGCTTAAACACTCTCTGGGCAGTTTACAACATAATTATGCAGGCTACAGATTGCCCCTTTCCCCCCATGAGCTGGGTGTTCAGTTTACTGACCTATGAAGGATGGAAGGTTGAGTCAGCCTTGAGCCAGTTACTTGAACCCATTGGGATCGAACTTGGGTTGTGAGCAGAGTCCTAACTGCAATTTATTCACATGAATAAAGTGATAGCAGAGTTATCCAGTGAACACATTCCCCCCCCCGCCGCCATTACATGTGATTTATGAACATGTGAACATTTATGAACGGTGAACAGATGTTTGAAGGCTGTTCCCTGTCGTGGCACTGTGACCACCTGTCAGTCTCGAGGTAGTCAGATCAGCCGTCCCTCTGCTCTAAATCTGGTGCAGTTGAATCTCAGGTCTGTATCCAACAAATTCCAGATTATCCAAGACCTTTTTCTGGAGGAGGATGCAGATCTGGCATGCATAACTGAAACTTGGATGGGCGGGGAAGGGGATGTTCCCTTGACTCTTGCCTGTCCTCCTGGTTATGCAGTCTAACACCAGGGTAGACTGGCAGGGAGGGGGGAGGGGGAATAACCATTGTTTATAGAAACACTCTAGAGATTGTTAAGCGCTCTGCGGTGGTGATGCTGGGTCTGGAGGCCCTCCACGTGTTGATTGGGGCCAGGGATGGTATAGGGATATTTTTGGGTTACCGTGTTCTCTGCAACCCAGCCATTTCCTTACTGGAGCTGGCGGACTTATTCTCTGTAGCACTGTTGGAATCCCCGAGGCTACTGGTCTTGGGTGATTTCAACATCCATGCGGAGGCAGAGGTTTCTGGTCCAAGTCTTGAGTTCTTGGAAACCATGGCTTCCTTGGACATGTCCCAACATGTCAATAGCCCCACCCACATGGGCGGTCACATGTTAGACCTGATGTTCTCCACGAGAAGAGCAAGTGTGGTCTGATGGTGACTGACTTTTCAGTCCCCTTGTCATGGTCGGATAGCCACCTAATAAAATCCAACCTCTTAGTGGCTCTCCCTACCTGCAGGGAACAAGGACATATTTTAATGGCCCACCCTTGAAGGTTACTGGATCCTATAGGATTCCAGGACTCCATGAGAGGGATTCCGGCTGATCTGACTGGCGCTCCTGTTGAATCTCTGGTTAATGGCTGGCGTGCCGCTGCTACCAGGGCTGTTGACATGACCGCTCCTAAACACCCTCTCCGTTGCAGAGCTCGTCCAGCGCCCTGGTTTAACCAACAGCTGCGAGCTATGAAGCAGAATAGGAGAAAGCTAGAATTCAATTGGAGATGGAACCCAACAGAATATAATCAGAAAGCTGTCAGGATCACAACTAACCATTACCTTACTAAGGTGAAGGCTGCCAGTCAAGCTTACTTTGCTGTCTGGATAAGAGAAGCTTCTAATCAGCAGGCGGAACTTTTCCGTATAGTCCGCAATCTATCCAGAGTTGGTCACAGTGATTGGCCTCCCACTAGCATCTCACCTGACAAATTTGCAGCATTTTTTAAATCTAAAGTGAAGGCCATCCTCCAGGATCTTATCCCCTATTTGAAAACAGTAGATCGAGCAGAGATGTCCAGTGCTCCGCCTTGCCTGATGAGATGTCATCATTTTTTGCCTGTGATGTCATATGGTGGACAAAGTACTTGCTCGCTATCATTGCATCACCACCTCCCTTGACCCTTGCCCAGTCTGGCTAATCAAAGCTGCCAGGCCTGTAACAACTGAATGGGCCACTGTAATACTTAATGGGTCCCTCCAGGAAGTCAAGGAGACACTCATTAGGCACATCAGGAAGATACCAAGTCTGGCAGTGGACAACATTGGCAACTAGAGGCCCGTCACAACTTTTTTTCCTTAGCAAAGTGGTAGAGAGGGTGGTGGCTGAGTAGCTCCAGGCCCTTTTGGATGAAACCAATGCCCTGGATCCATTCCAGTCAGGCTTCAAGCCGTGCCATGGCACAGGAACTGCATTGGTCGCCCTGTTTGATGACCTGTTGAGAGAGGTCAACAGGGGCAAAATGTCTCTGTTGGTCCTCCTCGACATTTCAGCCACTTTCAATACCGTTGACCATGGTATCCTCCTGGGGAAGCTCTCCGAGTTGGGAATTGGTGGTCTGGTACTTGCCTGGCTCCGATCCTTCTTGGAGGACTGTTGTCAGCTTGGGTGGAGTCTCAATTGTGGGGTTCCACAGGACTCAATTATCTCCCCAATGCTGTTTAATATTTATATGAAGCCGCTGGGTGGGGTCATCAGGGGGTGTGGGGCTTCGTGCCATCAGTACGCTGATGCCACCCAGCTCTACATCTCCTTTTATCCAACGACATTGGATGCCGTTCCGTCCCTTCAGCGCTGCCTGGAGGCTGTATTGCAGTAGATGCAGGAGAATGGACCAAGGCTGAACTGGGACAAGACGGAGATTCTGAGGGTGGGTGGCCCTCATGTCAGTGGTTTGGGAAACTCCCTCTCTTCATGTCAGCGGTTTGGGAAACTCCCTCTCTTTTGGGGGAGTGACTCTCACTGCGAAAAGTGAGGTTTGCAGCTTGGGGGTCCATCTGGATCCAGTGCTCATCATGGAAACCCAGGTAGCGTCAGTGGTCCGCTCTGCCTATTTCCATCTCTGGTGGATTGCCCAGCTGTGTCCCTTTCTTGATGCTGGGGCACTCGCCACTCTGGTCCATGCACTTGTAGTCTCGAGATTAGACTACTGTAATTCGCTCTACATGGGGCTACCTTTGAGATTGATGCAGAAACTTCAAATGGTGCAGAATGCAGCAGCCAGATTTCTCACTGCAGTGAGAAAATATCAGCATATTTCCCCCACTCTGGCTGTGCTGCATTGGTTGCCCATTCATTTCCGCATTGATTTCAAACTGTTAATGATGACATATAAAGCCCTAAATGATTTAGGACCTCAGTATCTAGCGAACTCCTCCCACCAAGATTTACCCGAATCACTCGTTCTAGCCAACACAGACAGCTGAGGGGCCTAATGCCAAGGGAGGCCCAGAGAGAAAGAACAAGAAACTGGGCCTTCTTGGCAGTGGCCCCTTGCCTCTGGAACAGTCTCCCTTCAGAGATCTGTCTGGCTCCCTCACTGGGTGTTTTTAAGAGGAAACTTAAGACCTGGCTCTTTAGGCAGGCTTTCCCTCCTGTCATCATCTAATTACTTTTGCCATCTAGGAGTATATTATTACTGTTGTCTTTATTTTATTATATTGTTTTTACTTCTATGTATTATTGTTAGCCACCCAGAGTAGATTTCAGTCTAGATGGGCAGGGTATAACTTGAATAAATAAAGTATAAAATAAATATGCTGTTATAATGTGTGGCCTCCCCATATCTACTATATATCTGTAAAACAACTGCAACCACACCTGACAGATACTTTTATGGATTTCATAAGCTTATTGTGGCTGAGTGAGTCAACAGATAACTTAATGTCTTACTCACTGGAAGGGCTGCATGAAGACTGAAAATATGTGATCTTCTTTGTTTCAGACTGTGAAAGGAGGCTTTTCTGAAACCAGAATAGAAAAACGAATCATTATAACAGGAGATGAAGATGTGGACCAAGATCAGGTGTGAAGGCAGTCTCTGTGATGTTGTCAGTATCCTTCGAAAGTTCTTAGAAAGCTTTTGATCCCATTGTTTATAAAAACATTACGTCATCCAGAACCCCTAGGGCCATTCTTACACAGTTTGTTCCAGCTCTGAACAGTGGTACTGAGAGAGAAGGTGTTTCTGTTAAAAGCAGAATTGTTCAATACTGATAATCCAGGAATATGTGGTCCTAGTGTCACAATAATGTAATAGGAAGAAAAAGCATAGAAATAGACGATATCTGTACAAACAGTTTTTACATGTACACATATACTGGTCAGCTTTGACAACATATTTCAGAACTTGGAATAGAAAATCTTGTACAAGAGTGTAAGTTTGCTCATAACAGTATAAAGTACTGTATCTCCTAAGCAGCACACATCTTCAAAAGAAACAAAAAATCTTTAAACTGACACTTTAAATAAACTGGCATTAAACCTTCAGTGGTTTCTTTTCACAGGCTTTGGCTTTGGCGATCAAGGAAGCAAAACTGCAGCACCCTGACATGCTGGTAACCAAAGCCGTTGTATATAGAGAAACAGATCCATCTCCAGAGGAAAGGGACAAGAAGCCACAGGTGTGTACGGATGTACAAAAATCCAGTTGTGAGATAGGGCAACTAAATGACAACATAATAGAGTGAACAGAGCATGTGTTTTATTATTATATTATTATTATTATTTATTTTATTTATATCCCGCCTATCTGGTCGTGTCAGGACCACTCTAGGCGGCTAACAACATTAAAATCAAACAATAGATATATACATAAAAACAATTTTACATGACAAAGATATTAAACAAGATAGGAAAACTGAAGGAGAGGGAAAAGAGGGGTGTCAGGAATTATTTAATGGGAAGGCCTGCCTAAACATCCATGTTTTTAATTGGTTCTTGAAAGAACCCAGCGAGGGGGCCGCGCGAATCTCAGGAGGTAGGTTGTTCCAGAGGCGAGGAGCCACCGCCAAGAAGGCCTGATTTTTTGTCTTTTCCTTCCGGGCCTCCCTCGGCGTTAGGCTCCTCAGCCTCACCTCCTGGCTCGCGTGAGTGCCACGGGTAGTTCTTGGCAGGAGAAGGCGTTCCGCCAAGTACCGAGGTCCTAAACCATTTAGGGCTTTATATGTAAGCATATAGTTTTATAGTTATCCAAGCAGGCAGTGCTCCCCTGAGCAAATACTGTCACTTTCCCATAAAGACGAGGCCTCAATCTTTGGCCACAGTAACAAAGGAATGGTGCTTTATTGACTTGGAAGATTATCATGAACATAGCAAAGTCAAGATGTATATATACTGCCTTATGACCATATCCTCTATTTAGATTTGTTACAAAACAGTTAAATATAAAACCAGAGGTGGGGCCATCTGAAATACTATCTTGGGCCAAAATGAAATGACTATTTCTTGGCGACAGTATCTACTGAGAAGCACCATGTCTCAAATTTGACTGTGGCCTTGGAGGTAGATTTTAATACCTTAGTGCTCTGGTTAGAAATTATTGCTGGTCAGATTCCAATATTGTGATATTTGAAAGGGGTGCCATAGAACATATTTGGGAATAATTTATCTTTATACAGCTTTGTTAACAGTGACACCATTTTTCATCTGGTCCAGGTCAAACTCCTGGGCAGCTTAGATGCTGGCATTTATATCTAAGATAGGGCTATTCTTTAGCCTACCCCCACCAGAGGGGTTATGTCCGAGAAAAATTATTTAAAAGTGTATATGGCATCAGTTTCCAGACTACCATGGTGTCTGTAACTAGCTGCCACTCCTAACAGAATATATAAAGGCTTTTCTTTCATTTTTGGAAAGTTTCCCCTGTATTTGTTCCTTATTAATTCAGATGAGCTGAGACAGCTGCTAATCAAATGCAGATTGAATTCCCTGCAATTGAAGCAGTTTGAGGGACGTTATATGGGCCAATATGGTGCAAGTAGATATTGCCCAGCAGGATGTTCTAAGACACAGAGCATGGTACATTTTCTAACAGAAGGTCCTCTGTACAGTGGTGCCTCGCACAACGAGTGCCTCACACAACGATGAATTCACATAAGGATGTCTTTTTCTGATCAAGTTGCTGCCTCACACAGCGATGTTTCCTATGGGGGATTTTCACATAACGATGCCCCTATCCCCTCATTTAAAAGTGTCTTAAACTGTTAGGAAACTGTTTTAAATGATTGGCATTGATAGTCCAGCTTGTGAAAAGCATGCAAACTTAATTTGGTGTTGTTCTGAGTCTTCGTTCATTTTTGCTGATTTTTTTATTTTTCCTCATTGAAATGTATTGGACGGTCTGTCCAATACATTGCAATGGAGAAAACAAAAAATCAGCAAAAATGAACGAAGACTCAGAACAACACCAAATTAAGTTTGCATGCCTTTCACAAGCTGGACTATCGATGCCAAGCATTTAAAACAGTTTCCTAACAGTTTAAGGCACTTTTAAATGAGGGAAAAGAGACATCGGAATGCCATTGAAATGTATTGAGTCGGCTTCAATACATTCCAATATAGGAAACATTGTTTCACTCAACGATGTTTCCTATGGGGATTTTCACTGAACGATGGCAATCCGTTCCAATTGGAACGGATTAACCGGTTTTCAATGCATCTCTATGGGAAATGGTGTTTCGCAGAACGATGTTTCACACAGCGATGAATTTTTTGGAACCAATTAACATCGTTGTGCAAAGCACCACTGTATACTGATTTGAAGGATCAGTATCTTAAATCCTTAATAACTGGGATAAGGAGCAATTGTCCTCTATGTACAATTTTAGTACATAGTAGCTGGCACAGCTGGGCTATGGAAAGACAGAATTCACAACCTGCTTCACAATCTCTATACATTGGTGCCTCGCTTAACGACGTTAATTTGTTCCAGCGAAATCGCGGTAGAGTGAAAACGTTGTAAAGCGAAAATAAATAACCCATTGAAACACATTAAAACCCAGTTAATGCATTCCAATGGGCTAAAAACTCACCATCCAGCGAAGATCCTCCATACGGCAGCCATTTTTGGTGCCTGTATAGCGAGGAATCCGTCCCTAAGCACAGCAGCGAACCATTTTGAGCAGCCGGCGGCCATTTTGAAAACTCGACGATCAACTTTTTTGATCGTTGTAATGCGAAGAATCGGTTCCCGAAGCAAGGAACCGATCTTCGCAAAGCAAAGAAACCCCATTTAAAACATCGTTGTGAAGCGGATTTGTCGTAATGCGAGGTAATCGTTAAGCGGGGCAACACTGTACATATTTACCACTTGATCCTTCTTTGAGAACGATTGTTTCATTATTTTATTATCTTGCTGATTGTTCATGAAGGACCAAGTAGGAGATGGGATCCAAGTGAGATGGGAAAAGGAAGGTGATACTTAAATTGGTAATAAGTAATGGATGGTTTTCTGGAAATTGTACTGAAGTCAGAATTATGTCAGGAGAAGGACTATACCAAAGGTTGTGGATTAAATCTGAGTACTGCTAAAGATAAGAATTTTTGATCTTTATTTAATCCTTCTGATGTGCACTGGAAATCTGTGCACCTCAAAGGTAACAGACTACTATATGTGTCAACTAGCAGGCAAGCTGATTGCTGATCAAAGGTTGTCTATGTAATCAGCAGTTGAAATGTTCATTACTAGAGTTATTGTTGCTGCTGTCATTTTAAAAGTAAATTTCCACTGTAATTGTCACACTCTTTTTCCCATATTACTTGGTCCGCCATCCCCCTACCATGTACTCTGTACGTGTAAATCTGAGACCTTATTATTATGCTCCAGGTTTTTAAGAAAGTGGGTTGCAGTCCAGAAACGGCACACTAAAATAAATCTGTTAGGCTTTAAGTTGCCACAATAGGCTTATTTTTTATTTTTGCTATTCATGCTGAAAACAGACTAACATGGTACCTCTTTGGGAGAGAAAAAGCTTCGAGATGGCTCTGCCACTGCCCTATGTGGGAAACAGATTTAAAGATCTGTTTATCTTATCGCAAGAAAAGCTGCCTAACAAAATTGAATGGCCAGGCGGCACATTCTTGCTTCTTGTTTCTGATTTTCTGAAAGGCACATTTATTTGATGACTGACTGACTTTCATACCCTTTGTACAGGAATCTTGACCTTCGTATTTCTAGAAGTTGGCATCTCTATTTTAACTTTGGAGTAAAGAAGGGGCCTTTATGCTGGATTCCTCGATGAGACATAGAACGTCCTGGCTGCAAGAATAATGTTGAGAGACAAAAAAAAGTAAAAAAATAAAAATAAAAAGGAATAGCAAATATATTATATATTATATATACAGGAAACAAAACGCATCCTTGCACTGCTGCTATATGCTGGAGATGAATTACAAACAGCAACATTAGCAACAAACAAAACCTACCACCTCTTCAAATAAATTGAAGAATTGACTCAACTGATCTAAAAGGAAAAGTATCATAATGGTAATAATATTATTAACAAAACAATAAACCACCATTCTGCATGTTACATTTAAAGGAAACACAATTCATTTGTTGCACACTGAAAGGAAAAGCAAAAATGCTTTGCAACAAAGCAAGAAATCAACAAGCAAAACAAGCAGAAATACAACATGATTCCCTGCATAGGAAATATTCAAAAACCATTCACTTGTATAATTCTTGTTTAATTATTTTCCAGTTTGGGATGTGTGGTGATTGCCCTTTCTCTTCACTCCATGCCACTTCTGTTGCTCCATCTTTTTGGTTCTGTTACTTTCCCAACCTATCCTTCCTTTTTTAACCTCTCTTCCTTCCATCCAGTCCCTTGTTCTTCTGACAATAATTAAGACTGGAGTTCACGTAAAGAAAAGCAAAACAATATGTATATGATTTCTCATTGATCAAAATGCAGCCTGTAGAGGTTTCATATGGATGTGCTTTTAAGTTATGTATATTATATATAAGTGGGGAGGGTGGGGAATGATATTAAAACAAATTAAACAGTGCTGATAAGTATGACAATGACATTTTTACATTATAATTATTTGATTGACTGTGGTTAATGTATTGCAGCTCTTAGATCATGCTGATATCCCATGAAAACAGTAGGGGAAAAAATCACTAATTCCCCTTAGGGGTGGTATTTGTCTGTCACTCACCTATCCTGCACTTTTTGCAAAAGGTTTTGGCATAGTGACAAAATAGTGTTTGTAATTGGTTGGTTGGTTGGTTGGTTGGTCAGTCGGTCATTAAAATAGCATTCAACAACTTGGGAAGGGAGTCAAAGAAGACAGAATGGATCAGTGTTATTGCAGCCCAGTTAGAGTCACTAAAATGTGCTAATCAACAATGTCTCCCACATTTTCTTGGCCTGGGATATGAAGGTCACCTTGGAGACATGAGATCAGGTTTCAGATCTCCTCTTTCAGAGCCTTTCAGTGTCTAGAAGTTTTTGCTCTCCGAGAAGTATATAGCTGTAGCAAAGCTAAAATGGCTTGTACATCAGTACTTCAGGTAACAAACTTTGGCTGCAAACCTAGAGTTTCCCTCAAACTGACTGGCCACAATATTCCATTTTAGCACCATGTCTGAAATGCACCTTGTAGCTCCCCAGGGGAAGAATCTAAGCTGAGCAAGGAGGCATCTCTCTTCTGCTCCCTATATGTTTTGCCAGGGTGCCATTCTGCCATTCAGCAGACACTAGTGGGGACACAGGATGAAACAGAATTGCTTCTTTCTGAATACAATTTATCTATATTCTTGCATAACTTAGAATGGTTTATTAATGAACAAATTGTAATGGTTTCCTGAGTGTTCATCCATCTAGATTACAGCAAGTTGTGAAGCTTGGTGAAAACAGCCCAGTAAATGTTGTGAGAGTAGGCAAGGCTCGGATGTGAAGAAGACATTAATTGTCCAGAACCTGGAACTTTGAAGTTTTCCTTTAGTGTTTTTTATCAATTGCCATCATACCTTGTATGAGAAGATATGTGTTGCAGGGAGGAGGACAAAATGAGTCTGCTTCCAGTGGAACAGTTAGTGCTGCAGAGGGGGGGGCCAAAGAACACTGCACCATACTTGCTTTCTATTTCCCCCTTTCCACATGTATTTGATATTTCAAAAAGGACATCTAACTACTGTCTGTGATTAGAATCGAGAGATCTTGGAGAGAAGGGGCCTACTTGAATATGTTGAAGTGGGATGAGAGTGATATATCCCATGTAATAAGCTCTTTGCCACCAGTTGTGCACTGCTATAGCTTCTTAAAATTGGATTTGCTTCTGGCATGCAGGCATGTCCTAAGTGAGCATTGAGAGCATTACACTCTAGGCATCATTTCCAATTCTCACTCATTCAGATCTTTGCTTCTCTATCTGAATTTCATCTGAGGAGTTTTATTCATTTTCCCTCCACATCTTGAAAACCTTCGGGGCCATGTAATACCCGAATGAAAAAAAGCAAACTTCATACATGAAGTACATTAGAATCCAAATGGTTTGCTTAAATAAAAAGCAAAGCAAAAGCCTTCTGCTTTCAGCTTTTCAAAAAGTAACCCAATTCCAGGGAACTACTGCTAACATCGTTATGAGGTATTATGCCGACACATATTACAGATGGGGAAAAAAAGAATCCCCTCCCAATCTTTGCATTGCCAAATAAAATTTACTGGAAAAGTCACTGTTGAGCAAATGGGGGTGGGGGGAAGTATGATCACCACTTAACATGATATATATTGGGATAAATGAGCTTCCCCACTATATCTAGAGGTGAGCTGCTTCCGAAGTAACATAATGAATATCAAAATCTCATCCTGGGCAAACAAAGGAAAGCTAGAATAGGCTTGTATCTTTGGATTCCTCCCATAGCCTGCCTGTTGGGTAGCCATTAACAAAAACTAGTTTTTTTGTTCACCTAGCAAGATGTGACCTTAAATATAGATCTATAAATATATATAATATAATATTTATTATTTGTGGTAGCGTTGAAGCCATGCATAATTTTTACAGTCATGGTTTCCTCTCACCTTGGTCATCACTATTGCTGCCATCTGATATAGTTGGTCACTCTTTTTTTGGAGGGGAGGGTGACTTTTCCAATGAAGGGGGTGGGGATGCAACTGTTTGTTTGCAACAAGTCCCACAAATTGATTCCAAAGTTGGCCTGCAATTGCATGAATTAATAATATTCATGTTTTTGTTTCTTATGATTTGAAAAGCACCTTACCAACCAACCGCAATGCTCCATCATTCCTTCCCTAATTCCTGTGTCTTCCCCGTCCCTCCCTGTTCCTATTTTTGTCCCCCTCCCCTTTCAGTCATACCCCTCTTTCAGTGCTTGGTGGTGTATGCGTGTGTGCTCACTGTTCTTGTATTCAATAAAAGTGAAATAAATGTGTTTGATGCTCAACCACTTTGTGGCCTTCATTGATTTTTGTCTAAGGAAGGAGGGCAATGGAAACTTGAGGGATTTGCTCTGGACCTCAGGGTCCTACATTCAGAAATGGGCTTGCTGAGTGTGAGAGAGTGGAAACCTTCTGCAGGAGGATCCAGACCTAAATTGTGAACAGCTACGTGGATGATAATGACAGATCTCCAAATTAAAGTTATTGTAGGATATCCATGTATGCCTGCACTTACGTATTAAGTCCATGAAAGTCTTCTTTCCAGTGCCCATTCCTGAATTCACCTCTTCCACATTCCTATCCTTTGTCCTCACTTGCTCATTCTCAGTTCTGCTGCTATCATTCCCATTTGTCTGTCCTATTTCTAGATGCCAGTATAGTCATATTATCCCAAACTTCCTGCTTGCCTATCTGTTTCTTTCCTCATCTCTGCAGATGGGATAACAGAGCTCTGTACAGTACATAGGTAGGAAAGTTATGCTAAAGGGCTTTTAAGTAGGAATTACAGAATCAGCCCCCCCAAAAAAACCCTCCGGTATTTTAAGGGTCAACAAAAAAGGCATAGTAAATGTAATTCAGAATTTTATTACATAATCTAAAGGTGTATAGAATACATTAGTTTTGAAAATGACATTGTCCAGATGGTGGCCTTCATTCATAATACACATTTATAACTGATTTTTGAAATTTTGCATCACCTAGTGGATAATCTGTGGCAGTATTGCTGTAATGTCTTGACGTGTAGCGGCCTTCAGTTCATGGATAGTTCTTGGCTGATGTTTGTAGATCTCAGCTTTCAGACTGTCCTAGAGAATCTATGGCCCTGAAATTTTCAACCCATAGCAATATAGTGTTTTTGTCCAGAACAGCAGCATTTCAACCTAGTGCGAAATGGATACAAAAAGCTCTCTGCATCGTGCTCTCAGATTTGTTGTTTTTTATAAACATTTCAATGAGAAACACACAGTGCATAACTGTCCAAACCATGGTGGCAACTGAAAACAGTAAGGCATATGCTACTGAAAGATCCCATTATGACCTGCCCCACTTTACTAGTGCTGGACCAATACTAAACGAAATCCAGAATGTTGTTGTTTGGGGGTTTTTTGGGGGTTTTTTTGTTTTTTGTTTTGCCTCACCTTGTATTTTGCCAGGCCTCCATGTGGAAAAATAAATGGAGACTACATGTGTACACAAAGGCAGGAACTAGCATGAGGCTTCTAGACTAGGGATGCTGAAAACAGTTTGACAGCACTTAACAAGGTTGATCCAGATTGGTAGAAAAAGATGCAACAACTAATGTACTTAATTTATATTTATGCAAATATACATACTTGTGAAATAAGACTACCCAGTTTGTGTAATAAGCCAACCACTTTACCCAGATTTGGTCAACTGGAATATGACAAACCTATTATAGAGTGATCCTGTCCGCCATAGTTTTTGATTTTCAAATGATGCATGCATCTCTCTGTTCAGCCAGTGACAATTTTTTAAGCTGGTCAAGCTCTGAAGCATACCTCTTGTGTGTCACCTGTTGTTGTTTTTTAATTCGTTTATAAGCTAACTTGACAATTAACACACGCTCCTTTGACAATTACTGTATACCTTTAGGCAAGAATACATTACTTGACCGTTTAATGCTATTTCTTTGATTTATTTTTTGATCATGTTAAGCTCGCATACTACAGACTGTAACGTCTGGTGGTGAATTGTGGATAGTTACAAAGTCAATGCCAGCATAAAATGACAATAGGATTTGGGCTATTAGAAAAATAACCAGGTGATATATTCTCGTTTAAATATGTAAATGTTGCAGCAATGCATGTTAATTGTCAAAAAAATTAACTTGAAAACAAACAAACAAACAAACAGACCAGATCACCGTCAAGAGATAGATGGGTGATATGCATACATCTGTGTTATTTTGGGGGCATAACTAATAAGATTGTGGGCAACACTTGCTTTTAAACAGAAACTCTGTTCGGAGGATGGTGCATTGTGGTATCAAAAGCAATGAACCAATAAGCACTACACAGAACAACTACTGCTTCAGATGGCTAGATCTTGTTCTCCCTGAGTTTGATCCTTCAGAAAAGATTGTCATATGTAACACAACAACATAAGAATACTTCACTCCTGTTTTCATTGACTACTTTCAATTGAAGATAATACTTCTGCAGCCAAGGTTGAAATAAGAAAAATGTTGATTCTGAATTGAAAAGAGTAATGTGATTTTACTGTCATCATAGCATACTTCTACAACAAAATCTTTATTTTCCTATTTCAGTATGGTTTATCTAAGCAGCACATCAATAACAAGTGTTTTCTTTTTCAGTCTGCTCTTTTCATGATGTTGCTGAGTGTTTTTATACATGCAAGCTACAATCCTAAATTCATTTTAAAAAGCCTTACTGCAGTCAATGGTACATAAACAGAAACCCATATATGTAGGGGAAATATGTTAGGTTTTCTGTTTTAATGTTTTTCTCCCCTCAAACAAAACTATTTCCCAAACTGTAATACATCCTCTGTATTCAATAAAATTGTGTCAAATGAACGTATAATCCCACTTTCAATCTTTGCAAATAATTTTTAAAAACACCTGAAGATGTCATTTTAAACATCAACTGAATTAGATGAATACCATGATTGAGGCTAGGGCAAAAAAAAAAAAAAAGTCAGCCAGCTACCAAATGATGAAAAGGCTGAAATCCTGTTAGGCATATTCTGCCTATGCAACAGGAACAATGCTATAATCAGAGGCAGATTACCACTGATTAATAATATTTATATTATAATTATAATTATGCTATATAATATAGCAGTATATAACTGATACTTAGGTTTTTGATTAAAATTTGCATCTGCTACATAATATTAGTTAAAGACTATGTCTTGTATTTTATAATCATCATTTTAGAACTGCAGAGGTGAAAAGGGAGCCTATGACTCATCGAGTCAATCTCCTGTCAAGGAGGCTCAGTGAGGAATCAAACTCCCAACTTTTGGCTCCACAGCCAGGTACCTAAATCATTGAGTTTTCTTATAAAGGTGCACATTCTAAATATAAACATAAACATTGTTATAAGCTTGAGAGTGGAAGGGGAGCTGAACTTTTGATCCTGCCATTCCCACTTGTTGAAAAACATCCCTGCTTTGTGTTTGGGTGGGAAGTGGTAAACTGATAAAAAAAAGGAGTCAGCTTCTGGGACTTTCCCACTTTGTGAATAGTGCTGGGGAACTCCTGTTCAACCCCTTGACTATTAGGCTGTGGAGTGTCTGAAAAACCTGACTGAAAAAACTGAAAGAAGCTGCCCAAAATTTTGTGGCCTGGCACCATCCCAGAAGCTGACTCCTTTTTTCCCATCAGTTCACCACTTCTCACCCAAACACAAAGTGATTGTCAGGGCTGTTTTTCAACCAGTGTGAAAGATAGTGAGCATAAGAGGATATTCTATAGGCTGGCAGTCCCCAACCACTGACCGGTTGGGGGGCAGGCTCTGTGCATGGTGGTGTGCGAGCACAACACACACCCTGCATGCGAGCTCGACACACCCATCAAGTGGAGATCCATCTCTGTGGCCTAGTTCCAGGAATGCCACAGACCGGCACTGGGCCATGGACCTGGGTTGGGGACCCCTCCTTCTGCTGTAAAGTTTACTGTACCAAGTAAACTTTACAGCAAAAGGAAGACTTTACATGAAAATCTGGTTCAAATTCTTGCACAGTCTTGCTAGGTAATCTTGAATTACCTACAATCTCTCAGCTTTATCTACTTTGAAATGCTGCTGTAAAGACAGAATGGGGAAGAGGGAAATGCACACTTGCCTGAGCTGATGGGAAGAATTTCATATCAATAAAACAATTACATGGCTAGTAAACTAAAGGCTATCTGAAAAGCAAACAGGTTTTCAAACGGTAACAGGTACCTGAAATATGGGATAAAAAAGGTGGAGTGATTTTTAAAACCCCAATAACAATTCAAGAAAATACATCCTGCTGATTTCCCAGGAATCAGTTCAAATGATGTCTCCAAGCATCTGAGTTAAGAATACTGGTTGGAATCATCTGCTGCCCATAAGTGTAAGCAGAGGGAAGTAACATGATCCATACTTGTTCAAATCACCTGTCAGACTAAGCAACATTTGGTTAAAAGGATAAGATTTTGAAGAGATACCCATAGGACCAGTGACTGATTCATATGGAGAGGCCACGCTGGCTGTATCACTTGGAACAGCTTGTTATTGAATTTCTCTCTTGTTTTATTCAGTTCTGGTAGCAGAGAATTCTATATGCTTATACAATCTTGTTGATAAAACATGCTTAAAGAAGCAGAAGGTTAAATAAACTTTGCTTTCACTTTGACTACTTTGCATAGAAGAATTATTTTACAATGTTTATACATCATACATCAGGAATGGAGGACACGTGATCCTTTAAATGTTTTTGGACTACACTTGTTACCACTTGTTAGACAGCTAGAGGCGATCGGCACTGCAGTTCAACAACATCTGAAGAGCGACACTTTCACTGGAGCAAATATCCATAGGGGTTTGTCCACAGGCCACGCTACCGTAGAGAAAGGAGGCACACAAATGTGAAGCAAAGCCCAAGGCTCCCCCATAGAGTGACTTTGATCATGACAATCATTTTCAAATGCCAAGCCTGCAGGAATCCTGCCCACATCAACATTTGAGCTGGAAAACATCACACAGCAGCAGCAGCAGCAGCAGAATGCCAATCTGGCCTTGAAGTGATTACACCTCGAATGCCAGAAACACTCAGTTGTAGGAAACCCTACACACTCATCCTCAGTTAAAAAAAAATCCAGCACTTCTTAGAACATAGCTAGGGAGGAAAAACAACAAAGCATGGAAGAGGAACCCGAGCTGTCCCATGAGCAGCAGACCTTTCTACTTAGACGAACTAGTCTTTCCCCATGTTCATGGGTACAAACATTAAAACGAAATGAAATTCCCATGGCTCAAAAACCATATACCTGTACTTTCTAAAAAGTGGAAACTGCAAAAACCCATCTCTAATCACTTTGATGCTATTTATGAATGTGTTAAAATGTGGCAAAAGAATCATCTGATATATCTGTCCTCATTCTTCATAAAGACAGATTCAAGTATTGGGCAGAATTCTACTGCAAATTTACACCTTCTTCAGAGAAACTGCACAAAGTTATGGCAACAAATTGCTACTCATTAACAGGTCCTGGTTGTGTTTCTGGGCATGCACCTGATTGCACAATTGGGTGTGCAACCAATAGCTGAAATCCTATTGCAGTTACACAAGCAGTGTTACTTTTAGATATGAAATGCCATAGTTAAGAAATCTCAAAAAACATTATCACGTGGCTCAGCATGCGACGGGTAAAGTTCGTGGAGATTTATTAACTTACAATAATGTGCACTTAAAAGCGTGACCCTTCTCAGCGGCTTCCACCTCATCTTTACCCTTTCTTTGGTCGGATAAAGGAGACCGACTCTCATGCTTCAACTCAACAGCTTTTATTTCCAACAAAGATAACTGTTAGACATCTCAACTTAATGATCCCTCTCCCTTCAGAGGTTCTTCGTAGCCTCTGCGAGTCACACATCCTGGGTGATTTGCGCCTGCCCGAACCCGAGCTGTCCCATGAGCAGCAGACCTTTCTACTTAGACGAACTAGTCTTTCCCCATGTTCATGGGTACAAACATTAAAACGAAATGAAATTCCCATGGCTCAAAAACCATATACCTGTACTTTCTAAAAAGTGGAAACTGGAAAAACCCATCTCTAATCACTTTGATGCTATTTATGAATGTGTTAAAATGTGGCAAAAGAATCATGTGATATATCTCTCTTCATTCTCCAAGTATTGGGCAGAAATCTATTGCAAATTTACACCTTCTTCAGAGAAACTGCACTAAGTTATGGCAACAAATTGCTACTCATTAACAGGTCCATGTGTTTCTGGGCATGCACCTGATTGCACAATTGGGTGCCCAACCAATAGCTGAAATCCTAACCCAGTTACACAAGTAGTGTCACTTTTAGATATGAAATGCCATAGTTAAAAAAATCTCAAAAAACTTACCACGTGGCTCAGCATGCTTCGTGGAGGCACTAAGTTATGGCAACAAATTGCTACTCATTAACAGGTCCATGTGTTTCTGGGCATGCACCTGATTGCACAATTGGGTGCCCAACCAATAGCTGAAATCCTAACCCAGTTACACAAGTAGTGTCACTTTTAGATATGAAATGCCATAGTTAAAAAAATCTCAAAAAACTTACCACGTGGCTCAGCATGCTTCGTGGAGATTTATTAATTTACAATAATGTGCACCTAAAAGCGTGACCCTTCTCAGGGGCTTCCACCTCATCTTTACCCTTTCTTTGGTCGGATAAAAGGGGACCGACTCTCATGCTTCAACTCAACAGTTTTTATTTCCAACAAAGATAACTGTTTGACACCTCAACTTAATTATCCCTCTCCCTTCAGAGGTTCTTCGTGGCTTCTGCGAATCACACATCCTGGGTGATTTGCGCCTGCCCGCAGCCTCATCAGAAAAGTCTAGGCGGAACCTTTGGAAATGTAGCCGCGGCGGCAACCCGAGCAACTTTTTCGCAGGGACCGGAAGGTCTCCGGTACGATTCTGTGACCGTTCCCCTTTCAGGCAGTTGCTTCGGACGGTTTCCCTGACGCTCTGCTGAGTGCAGCGAAAGGTGTGACCGGCGTGGTGGGGCTTATTCTGCCTGAGGGGGTTGTTTGGTGTTCGGCTTCGCTTGCCGTTGGCGGCCCTTCAGACGGGCACCTTTTCGTGGCGGCATCTAAGAACTTCCGCAGCCCCTCTTTCGCTCTCTGGACCTTCCTCGGCCCCCGCTTTTCTCCATCCCGCAGACGCCCCTTAGAGCGGACTGAACCTCTCAGTGTTTCTCTCTGTTTCCTCTGTGACTGCTCTTCTCCTTTTACCACGGCTTCTGCTCTTCCCACGAGGCTGTCTGATAAGCATACCAATCAACAGGTGCAGCTCCCTCAGTAGGAAGACGCCTACCTGAAGGAGGTGCACCTGTTGAACTTCTGGTTATTGGGCAGCTTCCTGGCGGCTCAGATGCTCCGTCGGGGTAGGAAAGAAAGAGAAGAACTCTTCGTTTTACATTTTTTCCAGGCCTTCTCCTTTCCTCTGTCGTTTTCCCTCGAACTTGTTAATACCTCAAGTGAGCCGTCTGTCTTTGTAGCAGCTCCTCGGTCTTGCTCTAAGATAACTACAAGCCTATATAGTTAAATCGTTTAAAGCAATTATCAGGAAATGGTTGTGATTTCTGTCGTCTGCACGGTGAAAAGAAGGTCGCTAAGGGGGTTGTTTTCGTAAAGACCACTTTATTCTGAATCAGGCGTAGGGCTCTTTTGCTTCTATATGGTGTCATTGATTTTTGTCCAAGGTTTTGGACAAGCGTGTTGTTTTCAACCATATTGCCCGAGTTCTTTTTTAAAGTGCTGACATTGGGACCCTTAAATACGAAGACTGTGTCCTGCCACAGAACTCTGGGTTTTCATCTGTTGGATTTTTGTGGCATTAAATCTGTTTAAAGATGTTTGTGTGGTTTAAATGAAGTACCTTATGTCACCACCCTTTCCCTCGGAAGCTTTTACTTCCATCTTATACTGTATTTACATTCTGTTCAGTGCCCAGCATGCTGCTGTTACAAAGTGTAATAGCAGTAGTTAAGGGATTGCACTTTATTTATGCATACTTATAGTCTTCTTGCTGGAAGAGACATCCCATAATTTCTCTTTTAATGAACTGGCCTTTCTACCATTACTTGATAAAGCTAAATCTTTTTATCTTCTGAGTATCCGGATACCTGGTGGCAGCGATCTGCTGTCTTTGGTTGCTGAATCAAAAATTCGCAGAATGTTAACTAACAATGTCGTTTAATACTGTGCATGTTTTGACTAAGCAGCAAACACTGGAGGAACTCAGATCCAAAGTTTTGATTAATTGAAATTTTGGTTGCCATTAGCTAGTATTTTACTCTCAGGGGCAGTGGCATATCCTGTTCTGTCACTATTACTGAAGAAAAATTCAAAAGCTGGTACTCCTTTCCATAGGTAACTGGGATATGAGAACATATTTTTCCTTGCCTTTGGCCACAAAATGCCATGAGCAAGCCCTACAATTTGAAGTCTGTTTCTCACCATTAAATCTGAAAGTTATTATTCTCAAGCTGTTAGCATCCCTTTAGGGGGCTCATGTATGTATTGGTTTGGCAACATATACTCAACATGTGTTTTGTTTTTGTTTTTCATCCCCTAGACAACTAGGAAGAAATTGTGCTGTAACAAAGGGAACAGTTGAGATGGCAGAAATGCAGATAGATCCAGACCTGGCAAAGCGGCTCTTTTTTGAAGGTGCTACAGTTATCATCTTAAATGTGCCAGAGGGAACAGAATTTGGCATTGACTACAACAATTGGCAGGTGGGACCCAAGTTCCGTGGAGTCAAGATGATACCACCAGGTATTCATTTCCTCCACTACAGCTCTGTTGACAAGAATAATAAGAAAGAAAGTGGTCCTCGCACTGGCTTCTTCTTAAATTTGCAACAACGTGATCTACGAATCCTATACTGGAATAAAGATAAAGAAGAGGTGGACCTCACCCCTGCATCTGAAGAGGAAACAAATGCAATGAGGGCTAACCTCCAAGAGATGGACAAATTTCTAGGTCCTTACCCATATGACACTCTTAAAAAATGGATTTCCCTCACTAATTTCATTAATGAATCTGTGATGCAGAAGCTGCAGCCAGAAAGTGGACAGATATGTGCCTTTTCAGAAGTACTGCCTGTCTTGGCTGGGAAGTACACTAAAGATCGGATTGAACAGAACCTGCCCCGGTATGACACAGAGTGCAAAAGTTACGCAGAAGGTCTGGCACGGCTACCCAAAATGAAACTCAAAGCCGGCACTGAGATCAGATTCACAGAAATTCCTAAGCAAATGTACCCTAAAGATGCTACACCAGAGGAAGTTACTAGGCACAGCATGGACCTCAGCTATGCCTTAGAGACAGTGATCAATAAACAGTATGCCAGCAATTCTCAGGATGTGCTTGGTAAGTTAAACCTGTTTTCATAGGAGTTGCTTTTTATGTTTCAGAGTAACTTTCAAAGTAATTCAGTATGTATTTCAGATTTTGATTCATATGCAACCTTCCAAAAAACTTCTTGGTTTTTCTAGTATTTGTGTCTTGTTATTTTAATTATATTTAATGTAATTGTTTTAAGGTGTTCTTTTGTGCAATATAATTTAATTGTAATTTAATCATAAACACATTTGAAAGTAACTTGAAGACCATCACTTTGTCTTTATAAACCAAATTTTATATTTTAAATATATAACAGATACAGCAGTAGGATTGTTTACTTAGTTATTTTTGAACTTTAAAAACAATATAACGGGGATGAAGAATATGCAACATCATAGATACTACCAAAAATGAATATTATTCATCACCATAAGCTGTATTAATTCATACTTATAGGAGCTGCAAACCCAACAGGATTTTGAGAACCAAATATTTCTCTCTCCCTGCTTTCAAGATGCAAGTACCTTGGCAATTAGGGCAGACATAGTTTTATTTCAAGACATAGTACTGTGCTTAAAAGACTCATAGAAGTTAATGGTAAAGTACTCTGTAGCAGGAATCTCCCCATGTTCATTTAGAAATTATGTTGAACAACAAACACCAGTTACTTTAATGTGCTCTACATAGGGTTGTCTTTAAATGAGGGGAGGGGATACAAATTAATGTTTTTTTTAAATCAAATTGATTTAAATAATCAAAAATCCAGTTTTTAAATTCATATCAAATCCACCTTGCTTTAAAGAGAATTCAGAGGTTTTAGCTGGTTGGGAAAGCTCTGCCTGGTTGTTTAATGAGCACTTGGTCGTCAGAACAAATAACAGTTCTGTGCCAGCTGTGCTGATGCCTTTCATACTGGAAAGAATTATATGACTTTGATTATTTGTGATCTCATTAAAGTGCCCCTTGTCACCTTTATAGCCCTAACTGGCTTAAGACCATGTTATTTCAGGGGAAAACAACAACAACAACCAAAACCCAACATCCATACACATCTGTCCAGGCCCTCTAATTTAGAAGAGGGACCCAGTTGATGTAGTATTAATAACAGCATGCTGTCAAGTTGAGTCCAGTTAGATATAGAGTAAAGTGGTTTGTCTTTCATCTGAGGCCACTTTGGGATTGTGCAGATTGCCCAAGGCTACACAGGCTGACTCTTTTCCCAGAAAGCACAGTGAGGAATTGAACTCCCAGCCTCTGCCTTTGCTACCAGGTACCCAGTTCACTCCCTGATGTTGGGAAAGTGTGAAGGCAAGAGGAGAAGGGGACGACAGAGGACGAGATGGTTGGCCAGCGTCATCGAAGCTACCAACATCAATTTGACCAAACTCCAGGAGGCAGTGTAAGACGGGAGGGCCTGGCTCCATGGGGTCACGAAGAGTCAGACACGACTTTTAACGACTAAACAACAACCCAGTTCACTGAGCAATCCAGACAGCTCTTAATAATTGTATGTCATCAGTTCTGACTTATAGTGACCCTTTCCAGGGTTTTGTAGATATGGAGTACTTGGAAGTGATTTACCATTCCCCTCTTACGGGGATAGTCTGGGACCTTGTAGCTTGTTTGAGACCACACATCTGGATCTTCCCCTACAAGGCACAATGGGGAAACAAACTCCCACTTGTTGGTTCTGCAGCACTAAAATCAATTAGGTTTGTAAGCATAAAATATAGGTGTTTCTCTACAGTAGCTATTTCACTGTGGAATGCTTTAAACAAGGATGTGCACATGTCTGGACCTGACTGTTTTTAAATAGGCTTTAAAAGAGCTGGGTATTCCAGATTGTTTATAATTCTGGTTGTTTTTAATTTTTTCCACTATTGTTACTGTTGCACTATTGTGGGTGTTTTGAATTGTTTTGTTTTTTTTAGTTGTATTTTATGTAATTGTTTTAAGATGTTGTTTTGTGAACCATCATGGAAAGACTTTGCCTTGAAAGGTGGTATGAAAATATTTAAATAAATATTGAACAATGGAATCCAAAAACTTCTCATGTGCAGCGTTGGTGACCCCTTGTGGTAAAATTATTAGTTTTGCTTTGAGGACTGAAATTGTTTTGTGTTTCTAAGTGTTAACACTTTAATATTTCTTGAAGAAATATATGCCCATACAGAAGTTATGGGCATATATTAATGCCTGCTCTAGCAGACATGTTCTTGAATAATGTCCTGTAGGTGTCATGAGGTGAAAACTATGAATGGGGATTCTTAATGAAATGACTATGGTCTTTCCAAGATTAAAGTAATGATTAATAGTCTACAGAATCCTTTTACTTCTACTGATTTATGCAACAGTAAAACATGCGACGTGAAACACATGTGCAGTACAGATTGTTTAATCACTTCTGTAATTGCATTTTTCACACAGTTTGGGATAAGCTGTTTTTACTGATTTCTTTGCATTATACATTGGCTTCCAGAAATAATCTTGCTAAGGTCAGATGCCCCTGTGGCAAGAAAGGTGCACAGCAACATGCACCTCCAGGGCTTTCAAAAGGTAATAAACAGCAGGCTTCTCTCCTGCTATTAGGCTAGCATAACTGGCAGAAATCCCTTGCTCTTCCTTGTGCACTTGGTGCAAGCCCCAGAGATTGGAGGAAGTTAGGCATAAATCAAGACAACCCTGTATTTATGGGGCCTTGTTCAAAGTGTTTTAATTGTTGATTTTTATTTTTATTTTTAATGCTGTGACTAGAGATGGGCCAACAGTGTTTTGGTGGCCCATCTTCTCTGGCAGGTGTCCATTCAAAGACAGTGCCTGGAAGAAGCAGGGCAGGAAAGCCAGGGCACTGCTTTCAGGTGGCTGCCCACTGGAGGGGCTGGGCACAGAATCACAGAACACCTGTTCAGCCATTGGCCGAATCAGCGGTTCATGCCTATCTCTAGCTGTGACCCATTCTGATCCTTAAGGATGGATTAAGTGAAAAATCTAAACCAGCCTTATTCAGTTATACAAATTGCAAAATTCTTTTCAGCTTTTTGGGAGTCAGCTTCTATTCCTAGTGCCTTTTTGGGGGGGAGGGGGAGGAAGAAGGATGCAAATCATTGAAAATTCCCTTTCCTATTTGCAGTTCACTGGTGGCAGATAAGATGGTGCTGGATTTTCTCTCCCAAAGGGAGTGCACCCAGGGCTAGTAGAGGAGTAAATTCTGTAGCCTAATATTTATTCTCCCACGTGCAGGTAAAATGACCATGTTATCACATTACTTGTGACAACTGCCTTGGTTTCCAGACCACTTTTAGATCCAACTGAAAGTGTTGATTTTGACCATTAAAGTGCTTCATGGCCTATGATCATGATATTTGGAGGACTACCTGTCTCCAGATGTATTTACACATACCTATTTTCAGTGACTGGGTGAAGCTGAGAGACTCCTTGATGGTATCCTAATTCTGGACTTCTTTTCCAGAGAGATGCATGTGATATCTACTTTTTTGTCCTTGGTACCTTGTAAAGAACTTTTTCCCCCATAAGCTTTTTAGATATAATTTTATTGCTGATAACTGTTCTGTGCTACTTTTATAATACCATGGTTTTTGGTTTTGTCATACTTCTTGTGTTTAGATTTTCTTTAGCCTTTGTATAAAGGTCGTAGGATATGTTTGAAAAGTAGTATTAAAATGCTTACAATAAATAATGAAACTACTGCTCCTTCTAGTCATGCCACTACAATTAAAACTAAAGATTATTTTGTTGGTGTGTTTTTATTGTTTTCTTGGTGACATTCCCAGGGGAGCTGCAGTTCGCCTTCATCTGTTTCCTGATTGGGAATGTGTATGACGCATTTGAGCACTGGAAAAAACTCCTGAATCTCTTGTGCAGATCAGAAGATGCCATCACAAAGCATCAAGCCCTGTTCAGCAATCTCATTTCCATCCTGTATCATCAACTCAGTGAAATCCCACCTGACTTCTTTGTGGACATAGTCTCCCAAGACAATTTTTTAACAAACACCTTGCAGGTAATGTGTAGTTGGAAGGCATCATTGTGGATAATTTTTCTAAGAATTGCATGGATGTCTAAAATGCAGTGGAAGTTTAATGTGTGACTCTTCCATTCTGGCTGATTTTGGCCAGAATGCTGAATTTGATTTGATTTTTTTAAAATAAAAAAAAAAACCAGTTTAAAAATGGAAAACTATCTTTGGGGAAGAAAATAGATATGACAGCAATCTTGTGTCACATATCCTCTCCTCTTCTCATTGTCTGTTTTTCATATGTTGCATGTGATGTCACATCCATTTTTATGCCCTCATTTGACATTATTAGCTGTTATGGCTGTTATGGGAAATTTATTACACTCGGATGTCACATTATGCATAACCATGATTGCGATTGCCATATCAAAATTTGCTCTTCGAAACACCTTATTAAAGAACAGTAGAGATCTTTATTCTAAGCAGCAACTCATTGAAAAGCTCTGTGGGTGGGTTGTAAGCCTTATTGAACACCATACCTACTGCTGAATTGATTGGATGTTTTTATATTTCTGGTTATAATCTGTGGTTCCAGAATATCTCGCATGCCATTTATTTCTGTACCAGTATGGAAGCATGCAATAAGTATAAAATAAAGAGTTACAGAGGAGGAACAGTTTTAGAAGTAATCACGTCAGTCTGTGCTAGCATATCACGACAAAACAGAAAAAAAATAAGGAAGAAAAATGTTTTGGCACTTTAAAGACTAACTTCTATGTTTTAATGTGAGCTTTCGTGGTCAAGTCCACTTCCTCAGACAGCGGAGGAACAGACTCTCTCAGCTTTCACATTAGACTGTTCCTTTGCTAAGTGCTGCAGTGAAGTTGTGTACCAGTACAGTGGTGCCTCGCTAGACAGTTACCCTGCATGACAGTTTTTTCGCTAGACATTGACTTTTTGCGATCGCTATAGCGATTCGCAAAACAGTGATTCCTATGGGGGAATTTCACTGGACAGTGTTTGGTCCCTGCTTCGCAAACCGATTTTTGCTAAACGACGATTTTGACAGCTCCCTCCGCGCTTGCAAAACAGGTGTTTTCAGGACCTAAGCTTCACAAGACAGCGACTTAAACAGCTGATTGGCGGTTTGTAAAGCGGCTTTCCTATGGCCGATCTTTGCTAGACAATGACAATTCTTCCCCATTGGAACGCATTAAACAGGTTTCAGTGCATTCCAATGTGGAAATGCTTTTCACTAGACAATGATTTCGCTAAACAGTGATTTCAGTGGAACGGATTATCATCGTCTAGTGAGGCACCACTGTAATTCAAGTTAAAACTACACATTAAATAGAGTTTTCACATCACCAAAGCAGAATATGAACCTCCTCAAGCTGATATAATTTCACTTTATTTTGAACAGATAGTGAAAAATATTATTAAAAATAGTCAGTGAAGTATCAAATTGAAAGAGAGAAGACATATTGTATACCTTTTGATTTTCTTTAGAACTGAGTTGTAGAGCTGGAAGACCTAACTCAATTGCCTAATTACTAATACTTCACTGTTTCCACTCCTAAAACAGTAATACACCTTTTGGTGTAAAGTACAGCAGCAGAGGGAGTGGACCACATCCAACTCACTTGTGTGTTTCACATATTATTACTTTGCATATTGAGGATTCTTGGTGTTTGTTACATTTTAATATGTATGTACTGTAATAGTTTGAGGCTACGGTGCATTCATTAGCTGCCTTGAATATGCAGTATTAAGGGAAGCTCTAACATGCCCTCCTCTGGACCTTGGAGGATATTAAGGGAAGCTCTAATCTAACATGCCCTCCTCTGGACCTTGGAGGCTGCATTTGCACCTGCTCCCCTCACTCACACAAATATTTTTAATTAAAATAAACTCATTTAACTCATTAGTGGCTACATAAGACAGTTTCCCCAGTTTTAGCTGCTCCTTGAGATGTTCAAAGAGATTTCCAGTTTTGAGGGGTCTCCCAACCTAAAACCACAGCAGGAGCACAACGTAATTGCTGTCAGACCCATTAAAGGAGGCACCAAACCCTCCCTGAGGCATCTTAATTTGTAACTTTTCTTTTTCTGGTTTTACCCTGGCAAATATAATAATACAAGATAGCTGCTAATAGTAACAGTAAAATATTTTTTAAAAAAAATAGGAAGAAGGAATTCCTTGCATGGTGGATAAGTGCTGCTTTTATTCCTGAAAACAACATTGGCATAGTGCTTGAAGCAGTAAAATTTTATAATTTTTTAGTCACAGCAGACCAGGATCAAGAGATAAAATTCTGATATACACAAGCAAGGACATCCAACGTTTCTAACCATTGGCACTTCTTCATGTCTCACCCAGTGTTATTCCAGAAAATCTGCAAACATTCTGACCTTTGAAGGGAAGTGAATTATGCTGGGAAAGCGAGACATTTGCTCTCGTGCGTGTATAGAATATTGAGCACAGTCTTTTGGATCCAAGCCACACTCTTTAGGTGTGGACATTGCTGCCTCAGTAATCTTCCCACCAAATTGAAATTCAATCAGGCTGTGTAATAATTATAGATTCTTCATCTTCAGTGTTGTAATAACAGAGAAGCAATGTAATTTTCTGCTTTTTCCAGACAGCTGGAGGAGGCATCATTTATGACAGTTATAAACGAGTTGTGACAGCAGGTGGCTGTCGACAATCCTCCATCCATTACTTAAAATTATATTTGTTGAGCTGCAAGACTTAAGTCTGCTGTTGTTTCATTTCAAAGGCTTTGTACAAAAGGTATTCAAAGACCCTCCAGAAGCCCTGTGTTAATATCTCTTACTCTCATGTTGTCTCTTTAGACCAAGTCAGTGTGCCCAACGGAAGTCTGCTGTTGTCAAAACAGCATAGTGAAATGGGCGCAGTGGCTGATTTTGGCCATAGCAATCTGGCTTTAGATCCCTGCTCATCCATGCAACCCTGTTATTATGTTCTCTTGCATCTTTAGGTTTATATTATCTATTTGTCGGTGTGTTCTTTTCTTATAATGGACACTTACGTGTTTTCTCCTTCATCCTGTAATGGGAATGATTTTGGTTATAGCCATCAGTCTGTTGCCTTGGAAATGAATTATGTGCAACAAATTCAGCATAGCAGTGGATGAGATGAGCTTTGAGATGAAAGTTCTTGTTTAATTAAACACAGGTGTGATGGGTCAGCAGCACAATTTTTAAAAGACTATTATGTGAAAATATAATGCATTTGTGTATGACAGAATGAAAAATAAAGACTCAATTAATACAATCAGTTATATTAGTTAATTTAAATCTTTTGATAATGGTCTCCTCCACCTTTAACCATGAGGCTGATTCTTGAAAAATCTATTTATTTTTAATTAAATCGCTTCCAAATACCACAGAATGTGTTGTGCTTTTAATCTATACTATTTTATTCAATGACTTGTATAATATATATTTCTAGGTGTTCTTCTCCTACACATGCAGCCCAGCTGTTGACAGGACTCTGAGGAAGAAGGCAGAGAGATTTAAAGCCCATCTAACCAAGAAATTCAAATGGGATTTTGAGGCAGAGCCAGAGGACTGTGCCCCAGTAGTAGTGGAACTACCAGAAGGTGCTCTTGTGGACTGAATGAACTTCTCCCTCTTTCTGTTTATTTTTAAAGTTGTATTTTCTGTTGTAGCTTTTTTGGATCTGCATTCAGCAGAACCATCATACTTTACATATATTATTCCTCTTCCTTTTAAGGAGGCAGAATGGAGAAGTGCCATAAGACAACACATTCCTGCTGGAAACAGTTAAACATTTTGGAAAATGTGGACTTGATTGAACACCAGATTCAGTCATGTTCTTTTTATGGCTTGCTCTGGCTTAGTTCGTTTGTCACTGCAGTCTCATCTATATTTCTTTGGGAGTATACCCCATTGATCTTACTCCCTTCAGTTTGTGGAGTTCAGTATTTTGTAAGCATGCATAGGACTGTACTGTGTGACTCATGGATACACTTTTATTTGTTGAAAAACTTTGTTTTAGGTTGCAGTTTTCAGTCTTGATTTGCCTGTTGTTTAGTTCCTTGGTGTGTAAGTGGGAAAGTAGTAAGCTAGAAAAGCTTTATAGTCAGAAAACTGTAAATTATTATCTAACATATGCTTGATCTATACAGTGCAAAATAGAAAGATCTTATAAACACTGTATATGAAATTAGCCCACACAATCTAGCTTGTCATTCATTGTAAACATCAGTGATTCATTTTTATTAAAGGCATTTTCATTGACTAGAAACTTTCTTGATAACTTTCTTAGGGTGATAGACTTAATGCTAAAATGGTCCCATCACTTTTATTTTATTATCTCTCTCTGCCTCAGCAGATTATTTCCCTGCCTTTTTTCAGAGCAACAAAAATCCACAGGTGTTCCAAATTATGAAAGAAAATTAAAATCCCATCTTGAATCAGGGACAGTCTTCTGTTTAAATTGCTAATAAAAAGCTGCATTTTTTTTTTTACTCACATCCTCTCAGAATAGCTTTCTGTTTTTATTTAAGAGCACTGAATATTCTGTGAAGCAGCCTACAGCAAGCTTGTTATCTCCTAATGCTTTCTCTGGGGTTTGAGATGCTGCTGAATTTTTCAAGCAAGAACCCTACTGTGTAGGGATTCAGTTGTTAGTCTTTCCAGGTTATTAGGCTCCTAGTGTCAGCATGTGTGTTTAACAAGATAACCTATGTGTTAGTGTTCAGCACACAATAAATTTTCCTGTTTGAGGTTTTCTTAGAAAATGTCCCTGAAGTCATTTATATGTGACATATTTTAACAAGTGCACACATTTAGGTATTGTTGGGTTGCTACCATGGGGATGAAAACACTGTTTATCGTGTTTGACACATTTAAAATAAAGTATGTATCATACGTAAAGGTGGCTAGTATTCAAATGTTATACATTGGCTAAATGTTTTTCATCATCTGCATAGATCTCGACTTTCTGTTCCTTCCTATAACCTGTCTTCAAAAACGTGTAGAATGTTGGCCTGGTGTTAAATTCACAAGCTGCCTCCTCTTTCTACCATGGGTGAAAGGTGGAAATTAGAGATGGGGGTTGTCGTATACGAACATCCCTGTGCCACTGGAACCCCCGCCCCCGGGGCCAGACCATCCATTCATAGGTCTGGTGGCAGCCCTGCTCATCCTTCCAATCAGGCCTGGAGTGCCGCTCTGTTCCTTCCAAGCAGGGGAGGGAGGACAAGTTTCCCTGCATGGCTGCTGAGAGGCCAGCCAAGCAGGAAGAGAGTGGCACTCTGGTGTGATTGGAAGGATGAGCAGGGCCACCACCAGAGTGGACGCCACAGGAATGGATGGTGTGGCCCCAGGGGCTGGACCCTTGTTAAGTCTAGCTGCATGGGGATATTCATATTTGTATACGAGTACTCCTATCTCTAGTGGAAATAAAAAAGCATTAGCTTCACTTTTGAACTAATAATAGCTTGTCATTGGCTAAAATCCAGCTGGTGTAACTTTACCCTGTGCTGTGAAGATAATGGGATCAGCTAGTGACACAAGTCTTTGATTTAAACTTCCTCCCCCCTTCCTCTGTTTCAGATTCTGAGGTTTCTCAGAGATCCCTTTTGTTTGGGGGCACTCTTTGGGAACCTCAGGACTGTGGGCCAGAACCTTCTGCAACCTTATTTCCACTTGCCACATTTGTATCCTAGTATCTGCCAGGGACCTAAGATGACACATGGGGGAGCCTTCCTCAATCTAAAGCCCTCCAGGTGTGCTGGATTGCCTTCCCGGAAACATGGCCATCTATTGCCCAGCACCTCTGGAGGGCATCAGAACAGGGACATCTAGAAGGACTCAGTGAGGCCCAGTTTGGGGAAGGGTAGGCTTGGTTTATAGAGTCAAATATAGTTAAGGACTGAAACAGTTCCAGTCCTTCTAGTCGATAAAAGCTGAATGCCAGGTGCAGTGAATGACTGAAAGAGAAAGTTGGAGATGGTGGTAAATTTCTGAGGCTGTGCCTGTGAACAAAGCTGCAGCTCCATTCCTGCCATCTTCCGCTGACATCATTTGCATAGGATGCTGCCTTTCTGATTATGTATCAAAGCTATATAGTATTTAGTTACATCTTCCATCATGTGCGTAACTTTTAAAAGAAATACTGTACTTGTGTATTTCTAAAGTGGCAGATCTTTGGGTTCTTTCCTCCTCACTTTACCCACTTTATTGAAGGGTTTATTGTAATTCAGTTAGGGAAGCTGAGGCTCAAATATGAGGCTTTTACTTTGGCCTCGTATTGGAAAGCTGAGGCTCGTACTTTGGCCATCTGATGAGAAGAGAAGATTCCCTGGAAAAGACCCTGATGTTGGGAAAGTGTGAAGGCAAGAGGAGAAGGGGACGACAGAGGACGAGATGGTTGGACAGTGTCATCGAAGTGACCAACATGAATTTGACCCAACTCTGGGAGGCAGTGGAAGACAGGAGGGCCTGGCATGCTCTGGTCCATGGGGTCACGAAGAGTCGGACACGACTTAACAACGAAACAATAACAAATTGTAATTCAATGTGTAAATCTGTTGCCTGAGTTTTTGTTGATCTTTGCTCCTTTTCCATTTTCTTTTTAATTGCCACTACATTTTTTCACTCAGTTGAAGCTAGCTTTTACACCTCCATCTATCTGTTTTACTAAAAATTTAGCTAACATACCATGCCTACAGACTCCAACCCAGGCTCATTCATACGTTGACATAAATATGAGATTCTAATATGGAGGCCTCATTAAGGATGAATGAACAAATGACACAACAACCTTTGAGTTTAATAGAAATGCGGTAGTGTGGTCAATACAGTAAAGTAATATATGCTCAAATATTCCCAAGTGAGTATTTTTCCCTTCTGTTACTTACTCCTCATGTCCCTCTAAGATTAACTCACATGAATGGTTTTGCATAAATCTTAGCTGAAAAGACTGACTCCAACAGGCCTTGGAGTTTGCTGAACTAGGTCGTCCCACGGAGGCATTGCTATTCAGTTGCCAAGACTGAAACACACTGGCTTCCCAGTGGAGCTTATCTCCAGATTCCAGTGGCATTCGTCAACTTCAGCTTGAAGGTCTTTGTGCTCCCCTGAGGGTTGGGAAGAAAGAGCCTACACACACGTGTCACAAAATCCTTGCATGTTGAATTGCCAAATGACATCTCTGAAATTTCTCCAGGCAAGAAGAAGAAGGAGTAGAGGAGGTTTGGATAGCGGTGAATTGATAAGCAGCAGAAGCTTGCATCCCCAGTGTGGCAACTGTTTCAATAGACTAATTTTAAAATGCACACCTTTAAAAGGGTTCTTTCCCAGCCCAAATGACCTGATATTCCTTGTTTTGTTTTGTTGGGAATTAAAAGACATTTTGAATTTCCAACTAGCTTTTAGTATCTCCAGAAAACTAGCATTCTCTGAGAACTGCTTCGTTGCTTTGTATTCATATGATGACCTGCCTTTGAAATGTCTATGTAGTCTTCCTGTATCAACAGGAGTAGCCACAGTCATTTTACTGCCCAGAGGTAAAGGGCATATCATTCTAGGTCCAAAAACCAAACGTATTGGCAATTGAATCCTACTTGTTCGAATAAGACCAGATAGGCGGGATAGAAAACAATTGAATCCTACTTGTTTTACCAATAGAGCAAAATCCAGAACAAGGCATGACACTACCTTAGGGAGCAAAGGGACGATCTTGTGGTACACACAATTTTATCTGCTGCCCTTTCCCTGACCATCTCAGGCAACTGCCTTGAAATAGTTGGACAAGTGTATGCATCAGTAAAATCCCCACCTTTGTTGTTTTCATAGCACGAATTGCAGCAACAGGATACTTTCAGGAATTGCCTAGTACAAGGTGCCAGAACACTTTCAATGCCTCCTGGAAAATTCAGCAATTGTTGGTTACCATGGCAACAGCCGCCAATGGGCAGGGGAGAAACCATAGCCATAGTAGTAACAGATACATAAGCTAACAGCTAAAGCACTACCTTCCTTTTTTTTCCTTCTTGTCTTTTTGAACATAGAATAGTTGACTTGGAAAATTGTGTTTCCAGATATCTAGGTTTTTATTTAGAGAGACAGATGGCAATTAATCCCTGGGGTGGGCTTTTTCCCTCCCTTTAAAAGCAAAAGCTTGATATAGATGGGACTACATTTGATTTAAATAGGCTGCAAAAAGAAAGCTATTCACCCAGTGGTGGGCATGTTGAAGAGATTGTGCCAAAATTGTGTTTTCAACACAAGCGTCACAAGAGCATGACAGTTAAATGTTAATAGACTGTAAGTCCCATCATTCCTTACCATTGTCTGTGATACCTAAGGCTGATGGTTTAAGAAGGATATTGAGTAGTACTCCAGCAAAATCTGGAAGACTACGAGTTCTTCTCTGTTGCAGCTTTTGACTAAATGTTATACTTATGGGCCCTTCTCATAAACTCCTGCACCCCTAGAAGGTGTTTGACAGCCAGTATGAGTCACTTTGTGCTGTCCTTTTTCCTTTTGGGTTCTCAGTTAAGGTATATTAGAAATGTCATGTTAGAGATACTAATGGACAAATGGTGTGTTTGGGTAAAAAAATATTGGCCTAAGTCTCATATTGTGCTAATACTGCAACTGTACTTCCCCCCCCTCCTCCCTTCAGCCCCCAGTGCTCCCTGAAAACTAGGTCCAGAGAATTTCTCAGCCTTCCAGAGCAGGCTTTTGAGATGAGTTATGTGCCTAACTGTGGAGTCAAAGGTTGTGAGTTCAATTCTTCACTCGGCATCTCAGAAAAACCAGCCTTTGTAGCCTTGGTCAAGATGCACAGTCCCAGGGCACCCCAGAAAAAGGAAATGGTAAACCACTTCTGAGTACACTCTACTTAGGACACCCTGAAAAGAGTTGTCATAAGGCAGAATGGACTTGCCAGCACACTGTTGTTGTTGTTGTTGCTGTTGTTGTTGTTATTATTATTGTTGTTATTATTATAAAAAATAACAGGCACAATCAAAATTATGAAAACATTGACTGGTATTGCATATCAGATACAATTTTTAACCAAAAACCTAAGTATCTGTTATGTACTGACGTAGTATATATGCTGTTCCTAATACTGCTGTTTTTTGTAGCTTTAATTATGTTATTTCTGAAATCTACAGTTGCTTATAATACTGTATGAAATTTCTTGATTTTGTTCCCAAAGCTCCAATGACTATGGGGACCACCGAAGCATGTTTCATCCACAAGTGAGATGTTTCAATTGCCAGATCTCTATATTTTGTTAGTTTTTCCAATTCTTTATTTTCAACTCTGACATCTCCAGGAATTGCAGTGTCAATGATCCAGACATTTCTATTACTACTATGTCTGGTGTGTTAAGTCCTAGGTATCTATCAGTTTGCATCCAAAAATCCCACAAGATCTTGACTTCCTCATTTTCTTACACCTTCTCTACCTGGTTTTCCCATGGGTTTTTGGAAGCTGGCAAGTTACATTTTTTTGCATAATGACCAGTGCACGAATTTTGTTCCTCTCATGTCTAATTTTTTAATGTTTGTGCCATCTTTGGACATTCACAGATGAGGTGTGACACAGTTTCATCTTTTTCTTAGCAGAGTTGACATTTGCTGTTAGCACTAATTCCTTGTATCTTAGCTTTCATCACATTGGTTTAGAGTGCTTGTTATTGTGCAGCAAAAATCAAGCCTTCGGTTTCTTTCTTAAGGATTCCAAGTTTTAGCCATGCCCATGTTGAAATGATCATACTTTCCA